GGTTGGAAAACCTTCGTATGACATTGGGATTCAGATTTACCCCAATTTGTGTTGCGGTCTCTAGATATGGGCCTTCTATTTACCTCCTCTGAATGTCCACCCTTCTTTCCAACGACTTTGGCACTTGGCAGAGCCAATCATATTAGGTACCTGGTAGTTCAAATCAATTGCATGCTGAGATTGGCTGAGATAATTGGCCTCTGCCAGCTACTGCAGAATCAGAATAAGAATAATAATGTACTAAAAGCTCATCCAGATAAGATAATTACTCATCACTGGGTTCACAACCTTCATGTGCTTGCATCATTAATATGGGCAAACAACACTGTTGTTTGCCCATATTGTTGTTTGTTGTTTGTTGCTGTTGTTACAACAGTAAACCAGTAAGAGACACAATATGGGTAATAGACACTTGGTCACTTGGACCATGTAAAACAATTAATGGATGTACTATGATCAAGTTACTTGTAAAGGGGGAAAAGAGGGAATTCCCCCCTTCAAAAATTCTGCTCCCCCTTTCAAATTTGAAATTTGAATTGTGTCAGAATGTCTAGGGAGGAAAGGGGGAATTTCCCCCTTCAGAGTTATTTTGAGCCCATTTTCAATTAATTCGCAATTCAGATGTTATATTCATCGTAATTCAGATTCTACTCAACTTAAAATATCTGGAACTCCAGATTTGACCTGATACCGATCAGATGGTAGTGGGACTGTCTCTTGTCTTGTCTTTTCGCACTCACTCAGGGGCGGATCCAGGAAAACTCCAAGGAGAGGGTCATGAATCGAAGTGGTGCCCCTCGCTATACCCAAAATTGAAAACTCAGCGGATTTCGGCCACTTAATTTTTGTGTTGCCCTAAATTCAGTTTTTGGGGGGCTCTGGTGTCCCTGCTAGGTCTCAGGTCAGGTGCCACTGACAGGTTCGTGTTGCCACTGGAAGGAACATGATGCCCCTGACAAGCCCATGGTGCCCCTGACAGGCCCAAGGTGCCCATACGAGGCCGGTGGTGCCCCTGCGAGGCCGATAGTGCCCCTGCGGGGCCAGTGGTGCCCCTGGCAGACCTGTCGGGCTCTTGTTAGGACGATGGTGCTTCTGACAGGACTGTGGTGCCCCTGACAAGCCTAAACTACCCCTGGCTGGCCCGTGGTTCCCCTGACAGGCCCGAAATGCCCCTGCGAGGCTGTTGGTGCCCCTGGCAGGCCTCTGGTGCCCCTGGCATGTCTGTGGTGGCCCTGGCAGACATGTGGTGCTCTTGCTAGGCCGATGGTGCTCCTGACAGGCCTGTGGTGCCCCTGCCTGACAAGCCTTTGGGGCCCTGACAGGCCCAACGTGCCTCTGCTAGGCCTGTAGTGCCCCTGACAGGCCCGTGGTGCCCCTGGCAGACCTTTGGTGCCCCAGGGCCCCAGGAGGGGGGGGGATCATGAGCATGACCCATGTGACCCCCTTCCCCCTTGGATCCGCCACTGCACTCACTGGCATATCGGTACAGGCGTCGGCGCAGAAACCGGCGGGGGACGCCGGGCGGGGGTCATGGACTCATGACCTCCCCGAATTGTATTCCCCCTCTCAACTTTTCCTGTAAAAGTAACCCTGACTACGATGCATATGTGCGTTCATCGCCGCACCATGCTTAAGTAGGTACCACTTGAAGGTCCTTCTGAACGCTGATATGCAGTCTCCCTAATGGCAAAGCTTTGAATGTGCTGGTGGCTCAGTAGGTAGACTTTCGCTTGCCTGACTCAGTTTTGACAAGTGGCAAAACAAGCAGGTCATCCTATCTGGTCAATCTTGATCTTACATTCAGCACAGTACAAAACTGGCTAGCAGTGCTGACTGCTGCTCGCCTGTCCATGGGTCAGGACGGCTGTGATCAGACACAATGTGCGGTACATTACGAGGTCCTGGGCAGGTAGCAAGCTCAACTCAGCCAGTACATCGCTTACGTGCTCACGTCTCCGCCGCCCCGAGACCACTCGCACAAAAGTTGAGTAGTTAATGCACACACAGCAATGAGTGAGCGGTGGAGTTCCCGTATACAAAGATTCAATGGCGAAGCAGAGAAAACTCACTAGTCCACCCACAAGCTCTGGTAGTACATTATGGTGGATATGATGCCTCGCATGACTGAGGCCGACCAATAAACCCAGTGCACTTCGCTAACAACTGGTAGCACTTCGCTAACAAGTGGTATTGAAGTGCAAAAAAAAAAAACTAGAAACGCGCGATACACGTAATGTGAGCTGACATACGCCGAATCGCAATGCCGGCCAAACATGGTCTCGAGAAAGAGATAACAGGTCAAAGGTCATTTGGTTCAGGGTCATGAAATTTTCGGGTTAGGTGTGACATTGATCAATCATCAATTTCTAGGGTACTGAAAGTTTAGTCGCGTTCGGCCGCTTTTTTGCGCGAGTTATTCGCGAAAAGCGCAGGGGGGAAGGGGGGGGTCCATCCGACCCCTCTGCAATTGCGAGGGTTAAAGTTGAAATTTTCAGGTCAACTTGTGATTCATTTAATGTGCCTCATCTCAGCAAGAGGCAAACGATGGTGCCTAGTTAACTGTCGCTGCGGAGTCGGAGTTGGAGTCAGAGTTGGAGTCGGTTTGAGTCGACAGTTCTGCCCGGAGTCGGAGTCGGAGTCGGAGTCGCCAAAATTATGCCGACTCCGACTCCGGAGTCGGAGTTAACCCGCGCCGGGCCGGGGGGGGGGGTGTTTGAACACCCCCCCCCCCACCCTGCGGTTTTTCGTAGATGCCGTTTTTGGCACACCTGTTTGTGCATCTTTTCCGCACATGTTGTGAAAATGTCAGACCCAGGTCGCCTTAGGTCAGGTCACCAGGTCATGCCAAGTGACCTCACCTCAGAAAAAAATAAGAATGCTCGTCATAGCTACACCGATTGATCGATTGCCTTGAAAGTTTCAGCGATTGATTAGAGCAACATTATCTATAAAATGTTTATCTCGGAATTTTGATATCGGTGACCTAAGGTCAGATCAATTTTGCGGCCTCTCCATTATAAGTCAATGGGAGAAAATTGAAAAGCGTCTGTTTTGCACGAACGCTATTATAGACACTCTCAAACATCGAGATGTAGGTACAATTGACACACTGAACCGGAAAATGGCAACTGTGACCCCTCGTTATGTCTCCGAGGTCATCTCAGGTCACGAACAGAATCTAACAGTTTTTCGCTAATAACGTCTGATAGAGGCCTGCTAGATCGCTGAAAACGCCTTAGATGTGTTCGGCTCGACGTTGCCGATCGACTGATATGCAACATGACCTTTTCCGGTCAGGTCATGACCTTGACCTGAGGTCAAATTTTCAAATTGACCTTTCAAGGTCAAATTATAGTTCATTCGACGCGTCTCGACGAGAGGAACACGATGCTGGCAAAAGTAATGTCATGTCTCTTTTGAGTCAAAAGTTATTGCCGAAAAACCGTTTTTCGTAAAAACGGCTATTTTTGGAGTTTTTGCCCTCTGGAGGCTAAACCGTTGACCTGAGGTCAAATCTGAAAGCATTACTCAGAAAGGTCTGTAAAAGGGCTATCGAATGCGCTTTTCCGCGGCGCTGTAGCTCTATCGGTTCCCGAGATAGCCGTTGGCAGTTTCCAAAATGTTGAAATAGTGAACGTTTTACCTTTGGTGACCTCTGGTGACCTGACCTTTGACCTGACCCAAAAAATGATCGAAGTGTTTTTTTCTTTTTTTGACGTTCTTTCGATTGCCGCTTACCGCGTGTCGCTACGTGGCCCAGGAGCCGAGTTAGAAGGGAGGGGGGGGGGGGTTGTTCAGACAACTCCCTGGTCCGGCGCGGAATCTCAGAGCACCGGCCCGGCGCGGGCTACCGCCGCATGGGTCGACGTCATGTACTGCACCTATTTGGTTGACGATACAGCTCTCGAAATTAGATTTTGTCGAAAAAGGCAATTTTGCTGTATTGGACGAACGTTTTCAGCGAAAGAAGTAGAAGAGGGTGAATACCCCAGAACCTGCTTGGAACGCACAAGGGATCGTTTCAGGCAAGATAAAAGCATCCCCATTATGAACTTCAATACCATGATATGGATAGATATAGATAGAACCGTCCGGAGTCGAAGTCGGAGTCGGAGTCACCGTAAAATCCATCGACTCCGCAGCCTTGGGTCACTCATACAACTACTGAAATTCGCCTCACCAAAATAAATCTATTTTGGTGTTTTTTCCTTTCTGTGGGTCAAGCCTGCGGCCAAATCTGAAGACATGTGAGCGAAGCAGCTTTGAAAGTCAGCTACCTATCAAATGCGTTTTCCGTGGCTCTTTTGGTTCATGAATTATATGCCGTTTTGTGAAAATATTAAGATTATGATTTTTTCATGAAATCTTTGGTGGTATCTTTGGTGACGTCCTGTGACCTCATCGCTGACCTGATCGAAAAATGACCATTATAGGTATTGCTAAAAGATACGAAAGATACGAAGATACGATACTTTTTTATAAATTTAGTCCGAACCTTTTGATGGGAAGGATTCACAAGGACAGAGCCACCGCTAAGCAAAGCTTGTTGCGATGACCCTGCCCTCTACCCTCCGATCGCACAATTCCAGTTCTATGGCAGAATTTAGCATCCAAAGTTTAACGTGCGCACAAAGCCGCGCACGGCCGGTCCCCTCGCTGACTTCGCCTGGCTACGGCCTGCCACCAACCGCAACCATACCTGTCAGGAGGCCCATTAATGTCGAGCGCCCGTCGCGCTTCGAACCCGGACTGTCATAACCGGGAACGCGTGCTCTCACCACGCGGAGTCCAACGCTCTAACCAACTGAGCTACGGGACCGGCGATACGAAGATAAAGATAGTATAGCGGGCTAACTATCGCTTTTTCACGCCTTTCCAGCTTTCTGACTTGCCGAGATAATCGGGTGTTCCCAAGTACGCCGGACTCCCCCCAGCATGGCGACGTTAGCTGAGACCTCATCAGGGTGCAGTAAGCTGTTTAAAATGCACTAGGTACCTAACAAGTCAGTTGTATGGCTTGAAATTGGATGCAAATTAGGGAAGACGGCCTCTTATTACCAAAACTAATATACTATATGAATGATTTAGCCAATTTGACTTGTGCTGGCGACAACAGTCAAAGTCCAATTTCGTAATAGTGATAACGTTTCGAGCGTCCGTGACTGGCTGAGTTTGGGCAATCAAGCTGGGCCAGCTGAACTTGGCCACCGATTGGCTGTCAGTGGTGGGGTCTCGCCGGCCGGGGTCGAGCGAGACCGTCACGACCAGTGCAGTCTGTGGCACGCCGCCGCGCCGGTGGGACGCGGAGACGGGTGACTACCGATCCCCCGGTAGGACGACAGACGGTGCAGGTGTACGTGCCGCATTTTGGCGACATCTTACGCACTTCAGTACCTACTGTGCAGAGTGATCAGAATTGTCCGCAGGCTTTTCCATACCGAAGTTCGAACAATTATCACATGTGTCATTAGCTCGCTCGCCTCTTTTTTTATGTGCATTCGTTACATTCAATTATTAATAATAGCATACGTACCAACTACCAAACATCGCTGACGGATTTTTTTTCAGATTGCTTAATTTGAAGAAAGCTGTTTGATTTAAATCCCATGGCCGCGTAGAGACAAAGAAGCTGGCTGTGCTGCCATCCACTCGGAGTGGGCCGGAACTACTGGTACGTGAACAGCCTCCAATGGTTTCAGTGTGCGCTGTGCTCCGTCCTGTGACTCTGCCGGCTGTCCTGGACGGATGACCTGTGTGTGATACGAGTCGCTGTGCTGCTCCGCCCCCGACCGGTGCTGTGATGTCGGAGCCGGCCCGGCTGCAGTGCCCGGCGGCTGGCGAGCTGCCGTCGGCCGCGCCGGGTGATGAGCGGCAGCCGGCCGGCCGGCGCACGGCCAGCCCGCCGCTGGCCGGCCCGTCGCCGATCGGGCGCGTCTCGCTGCCGGAGACGGTGCTGCACTGGTTCGGCTGGACGTTCGGCTGCTTCTACTCCACCTACCGGCTGTATGACGTCATCCGGCGTCACCCGGACGCGCTGGACGCGCACAGCAGCCCCGGCTGGGTGGCCGGCCTCTCGGTCGACCACTGCGACGACGAGTTCGAGGTGCTCATCAAGGGCCAGCTGGCCACCTACGCCGTCTTTATGACCATCCACCTGGTGGTGGGCCAGTTCCTGCACGGCATGGCGCTGAACAAGGTGGTGCCGCTGTTCCACGCGCTACTGGCCGCCGCCTACCTGTGCTTCACGGTGGGTGTGCGGCGCTACGCGCTGCTGCTGGCCGTGGCGCTGGCCATGTTCGGCTCGTCGCGGCTGCGCAGCCGGCCGCTGAGCTGGCTGCTGGTGGCCGTGCTGCTGCTCGGGCACCAGCAGCTCATGCTGGCCGTGGTCGGCCCGGACCTGACGCACGACGCTGAGAACCGCACCTACCTGGCGACCGTGGTGCAGATGTGGAACCTGTGCCGCGCCGTCATGTTCTGCTGCGACCAGGCCGACCGACCGCCGGCGCTGGTCACGCACGACAACGTGGTCACCTTCCTGGGGTTCGTGTTCTACGGCCCGACGCTGCAGGGCCCTCTTCTGGCGCACACCGACTACCTGTCATCGCTGACGGCCGGTGGCGTGGCGGCCGGGCCCGGCTGGCCCCGCCTGCGCCGCCTGCTACTCTCACTGGCCCGTCTCGGTGGCTGGCTGCTCTTTCTGGAGGTGTCCAACCACGTGCTCCACTACCACGCGCTCATCTACTCTCCCGAGGACATGCACCGGCTGTTCGGCCGCTGGGAGATCGCCGGACTCAACTACTGGGCCGGACAGTACTTCCACGTCAAGTACGTGGTCTGCTACGGCATACCGTGCGCGCTGGCCAGCTTTGAGGGCGTGCCGACACCGCTGCCGCCGCGCTGCGTCAGCTGGATCGCCTCCTACTCGGATATGTGGAAGTATTTCGACCACGGCTTGTACAGATTCATGCAGAGGCACATCTACCGGCCGCTGTGCGGCGCGCAGCCCTCTGCTGGACGCCGCATGGCCGCCTCGGCCGCCGTGTTCGCGTTCGTGTTCGCCTGGCACGGCCTGCTGCCGCACATTCTGGTCTGGTCGGTGGCCAACTTTGTGTGTGTGACTGTGGAGCGCGCCGGCGGTCGGGTGGCCAGCAGTCGACGCGGCCGTGAGTGGCGCCGCGTGCTGGGCGCCAGTCTGCGCCGCCGCTGCCAGGCGCTGCTGCTAGCGCCGCTCTTCCTGGTCTCGCTCGTCTCGCAGGCCGGCTTTCTGACCAACAGCATCGCGGTCAGCTGGCTGGCAATGGGCGAGGGCCTTGCGCCGGCCAGCGCGCGCGATATGCTGGTCACGCTCGGCTTTATGTACTGTGGCTGCCAGGTGTCGTACGACGTCAAACGCTGGCGTCAGCAGCGCGCGCGCCTGCAGAGGGCCGACAGCAAGCTGAAGCAGCCGTGATGGGCGTCCGAGTGACTCGCAGAGGGGAAGGGTGATAGGCAGGCGGCCACCGTCCTGTGACCGGCCGCGGGCGCCGCTGTCCGCGCACGGACGGCAGTGTTGTGACATGATACTGCGGTCTGGTATCTCCCCCGCTGTTCGCCGCTTCCCCTCCAGATCCGGACGGTTGTGAGATAAACGAACTGCCTTGTGTGTCTGCGCTGTAATAACAGGCTGTTATCGGAACTGAGCTTTCCAATGTCGCCACAGGATGCCCCGTGTGTGCGCGTCGGGGTCGTCTGCCGAACATCTTATGCCGAGGTTTGTCCGCTGGGCTCCCTCCGTTTGCCGGGCTGACTTGGAATGTCGAGCTGTGACCGGTGTGTTCATGATGACAGTCAGACTAAAGCGGCTTGCCTTGCTGTATCAGCTATTAAGCGATTAACTAGCGGGCTGATTGTTCTGACAATCGTGCTGTCTGTCTTCCGTCTGCCGTTGCGTTGTTATGTATTCGCCCGTTATCACTGTTGACATTACGGGGAGTCTGGGTGCCGTAGCGGTCGCTACTCTGTATGTCTATAAGAATCGTGCATGGTGTCTTATGATAACTGATAAATGTGACGACGGTTATGACATTAGATTGCCTTTAATTCTGTCGAGACTTGATCATTGAGTTTTATTGACATCTGAGTTTCATAACTCGTCTGCTACTGCGCCCCTACTGCCAAATGCCAGATTGTTTTCCTTCGTCTTAATTGTCCCCTCACTCAGGAGTTGTATTTTCCCGAATGTTACTTATAAGTTACGATAATGCTGACATTCATTATGTTCAATAAATGTCAATCAACATGGGTGGTTTGTGTGTTTTTGTAGGCGGCGCGATGGAGGAGCAGAGCTCTCGTATCTTCTTCAGTCCGGCGGGAGGCGGGCTGCGCACGTGTACGGTCGTCCAGTCTGCCGGCGCGGACCGCTTCACCCGCGATCGGCCGGCCTCAGACGGTACGTGGCGACTGCGCCGGGGATCGGGTGCCTCCTCTCAGCGAGTGGCACTCGTAATCGATTTGCTCACCGTTTGGATGATAGGACGTGTTGGACAATTGACATATTCGATCACTTTAGCCCTCAAGCATCCCGCTCCTACCTGAAATATCTTGCAACAACATACCACAATGGATGACTTCGTCGCTATTTTTTTCTAGAATGTCTTGTCGTCTGGCTATAGCCACGATCGCAAAACTCTGGTGAAATATCGGATGTCTGGGTGCTTGTTACATGACGTGTCAAAGTACGTGCATGTGCATTGAACGCATTGTGCACCGTATGTATGCTGTGGGACGTGTCTGTTCTGTACCTAGCGCTGTGCACTGTGGAATCGAATGACATGTGTAGGTCACGGTGCGAGGTCCAGGGCCATTGCTAGGGCTGCTAGACCGGCTGCTAGACCCGATACTCCGAAAACAGTCCACGCGTATGCAGGTGTGTCTCGTACCAGGTTGAGCTCCCAAATCGCTCAGGTTTGTTGTAGTATCGTGAGGAGCACCGTATGTCTCGTTCAGCAATCTTGAACTCACAAACGAGTGTGTTGCGACTTGCGAACCTCATCTACTGAAACTGTTTTTGTTTCAGCGCGCCTGTATACGCCTAGCATTGTGTGCGTTTTGTATTTTGATCTAATTGATGTTAGGTTCATGAGCTACATTTGAAGGAGCACAGATCTTCAAAACGAGTGTCCCGAGACAAGTTTTACATAAATCTAATAAGTAAAATGAGAAAACTGGCGAAGGCTTCCCGCAGGAAGGGAATTCGGTTATATTCGTCATAAAGCAGAATGCTTCTATAAGCCTTCTGCTACAGCCACCCACAGACCTACTGGTGTCGTCCACGCTATGTTTTTCAATTGGTACTGCTGAGTGCTGGTTCGATGCAGCGGGTTCCGGGTCGCGCCGGGCGGCAGGGTCTGGGCTCTGGCAGCCGCCGGTCGGTCGGTGACGTGTCGGCCGGTGGGACAGGGCACAGGGCGCTCAGCAGCTGCGGGCGGCCAGCCGGCAGAAGAAGGGCAGCTCAGTGGCGCAGCTGACGCCGCCCTCGCCGGAGGCCGAGAAGGCGGCGCAGCTGGCGCTGCCGTCAGCCGGCCGCACGTGCAGGCTCCACTGCTGGACGCCGGCGGCGAACTGCGTCTGCAGAATGTGCCAGAGGTGGGTCTCCAGGACGGCCAGCTCGGCGCCGGGCAGCAGCTCCTGGCAGAGGCGCGCGGCGGCCGTCCAGTCGGCGGCGGTGGACTGGTAGCTGTAGCAGTTGCCGAGCACGGCCGTGAAGCCGCTGGGACAGGGCCGACGGAACCAGCACCGCTCCTGCAGCTGGCACACGTAGCCAGAAAGGGTTTCAGAGCACCTTTGGGCGCCAAAGTTTGCCGTACGGAAGCTCCCCCGGAGGTGGACGCAGCCGGGATTGTCGGCGGTGGCCACCAGCTCTGGCGCCAGGTGGCTGACGCTGCCGTCCAGCCGGGTGAACGTGCTGCCGTCCACCGCCAGGCCGATGTAGGCCGTACCGCTGCGGCGCGCCGGGTTGTGCTGCAGGAAGGTCAGCTCGCCCTGATTCTCCGGCACGGCGAGCTGTGCGCCGGCGGCGCGCTCCTGACAGGCCGCCTGGGCGTCCGTCCAGCTCAGGTGGGCACTCCCCACGTACTGGTAGCAGAGTCTCCTGAAGTGGCTCCAGCCGGAGGGGCACGGCCACAGCGCGCGCCGGTACTCGGCCGTGTCGGCGTCCGCCAGCTTCAGCAGCCGGCAGCCGCGCGCGGCCGAGGCGTTGAAGCCGCCGCAGCCGGCCTGGCGGTCGCAGGCGGCGGCGCACGCCACTCGGGAGACGGCCGGCGGCTCGGCGGTCGGCTCGGACGCCTGGCGGATGTAAGTGCCGGCGACCAGCAGCGTGCAGCAGCAGACCACGGCGGCGGCCACCCGGAGCGCGGACATCCTCGGAGCTCAGCCGCGCACACTGGAACCGGTCCTCAACTGGGCACACCGGACCTGGTGTGGTCTGATCTGGCTCGACCGACTGCAGAACGGCCCGAGGGTTCAACCGACTTTGACCGACTGCGCCGACTGGAGCACAACTTTCCCTGTCCCCTGAGGAATGCTGGAGCCGTTGTCAGAGTAATGATGAGACGCATAGATCGTTGGTAACGACAATGCGTTAAGGCGTACCTGATGGCCTGTATGGCATAACGTTCCATTTATGTGCCGATGAATATTTGAGTGCTTGTGCGCCATAACGTCAGTGTAATCGGTTGCGCGTTTCGATGACCCTCGCACGGGTTTCAAAGCATCGTTAGAGTTGCGTGATGATGGTGTGTGCTTCGTATTACTTGCGAGTGATAATCGCCAGCGCTGAATGTTTCGTGCTGAGGTAGCCCTGCTTAATTCAGCTGAGCACGCCACTTCGCCAGCAGCCCGAGCCCTCGGAAAACATGTCATCGAAGAAACGATACATTTCCATGCTGGTTGTGTTGTGTGTATGCCTCAATAATCGTGTGTTTTATGTCGTGTGGAGTTTACTCGTACCTACCTGACATGCAATTACATCCAGACCTCTTAGCGATTGCAGTGTTCGTGACTGGGTCTTCTCTGCCCTGCCTTTTCAAATACTGCTCCGGCTGTAGTCGGTTTGTTTGCTGTTACCGTATCTACGCAGTTATGTGGCAACCTTTTCAGAAGTGAGGCTGACAATAATAGTTGTGACATTCTTATCAGCTAATATACTGCCGTCCTCCCCGTGACTCGCCACGCCGATTTCCCAATGGAAATAGGGATTTTATCTCCCGCGTCTCTCCCTCTCATGATTACCCAGTGATTGCGAAATGGCATTCCCGCCTAAGCTGAGCTGTTTTAACATTGATAAAATTGGATTGGTGCGTGACACTGGTGTCTATGTATTTCAAACACATTTTAACTCCCTTTGTTTTGATGTCCGATGTAAGCAGTAGAACTCATCTCGAGCTCGCCCAGCTCTGACCGTTTTTCGTTATATCGCCAGGTCTGAGCTGCACCGCCGCTCCGGCGCCGGAGCCGTCCACCGGTCCCGACCTGCCGCCGCGGCCCGCCCGGTCCGACGACGACCTCTCGCTGGCGCCGGCCGCCGGTGTGCCGTGGTCGGCCGGCAGTCGGGTGGCGCCGCTGTTTGAGCTCTGTCTCCAGCTGGCCGCCGGCTGGCTGGACCGGCTCGAGAGTCTGGTCGGCTTCCCCGAGCTGGTGGGTGAGCTGCTGGTGCGGCGCGCGCTGCGGCTGAAGGTGTTCGACCGCGGCGACCAGCGGTGTCGGCGGGCGCTGGCGCTCTGCGTGGCTGCCTACCCAGACCAGGTGAGACGGGAGTGGAAATGGATCAACTGTGCGACTGGAGTCACAGCTCAGACGCCAATCTAAACAGAGTGTCAGTGTAAGGACTTTGAGATCTCCTATTCCCCTACGGGAGCGTTGAGCAATGCAATCTTACATTTTCAGGGGATATTTTTACCTACTCATAAGAGCGAGCTAAAACAGCTCCTCATCATGTGTTTGATCCAACCGCCTGATCGTAATACCTTAGCATTAATCGCCATTTCACGATTGACGTGCCTGTCGCGCTGGTCGGCATGCTCAGGTACTGCCCAGTGTCCGTATCCCGGACCTTCTGACACTCTCCGAGTACGAGGAGCCTCTGGAGACGGTGTGGTCCAGTCTGACGCGTCTGGACCTCTCGGGGTGTCGGCTGGGCGACCGGCATCCCGCGCTCTCACATATCGCTAACGCCGCCGGGTACGTACTGCGAGAACGGTGTTTCGGCAAATGGCTTAACTGCTGTTCTTTTGGGAGAGTTTCTTGAAGAGGAATTAACATTTTTTGTTCATATGTGGTAAATTGTGTAGATTTACAGCATTGATTACGTGTTGTCGCTGCTTTATCAGCTAATTGTTGTGCTGGGGATTTAGAAAGATGTAGGTAAATTTATGATTGTATAGAAATAAGTTTGAATCAAGCTTTATGTGGAGATACTAGCAATCGTTATAGTTTCTGTCTGGTCTGTGCTTGTGAGATCGAAGTGGCGGACACTTCTGCGGGTCTTACGTTTCGTGGTCGAATTTACACCTCGAAACTTCGCCTCAGCTCCGTTTGTCATGAGTTTCTAACTAGGCTACCGGCTGTGATTGTCTCAGACAAACACACTTATGCACCTACACCATAGTTCGACCAGACGCAGATTGTGGTCTCCACGACAGGCTGGCCCACCTGTATCTGCGGGACTGTACGTTTATCTATCACGCAGTGCATATTTTCCAGACTGACGCACCTCTATTTGCGGGACTGTGCGCTGACCGACGCCGGCCTGAGGAACCTCACCCTGCCGGCCAGGATGTCAGGGAGCGGACCCCATGCGCTGCGCCGCGTGGATGTCAGAGGTGTGGGGGCTGAATGTGAGGAGGGCTGGAACGGCTGCCAGAGGCCGGAGATGCAACTGAGAGATATTGACCGATTGTGAAGTGCATTTGATCCTTGAATATGTCAAATGATCGCTCAGAATCCACGGATGGCCGACTTGAAGTATCAGAAAAAAGGAAGACAAAATATGCAGTGGCATCGGTGATGAGATGTGTGCGAACTGCGAATCGGCCGGCGTTGAGATGATCTTGGGATCCAGGACGCCTATAACCCCGACTCTCGTGTGTGTACGACTGACTCGGCTCCGGCCCGGCCCTCTCCTTCTCCTCCGCAGATAACCAGCTGAGCTGCCGCTCCCTGCTGATGCTCTGTAGGCTAAAGCCGCACCAGATAGCCGCCTCTTTGACAGTCAATGTAAGTTAGAATTTAGGCCGGTTTTTGCCGCTGTCAGTTACTTATCTTATACTTAGCCTTTAGCCGTTTCACTTCATTAAGTGTTCGCCTTTTTTCTGATTTGGCTAGCTCTGTGTTTTTATGCACTGCTACTTTGAACAGAAACAAGTGTTTGTTGTATTTGATTCCATGGACAACAACCACATAAAGATAGATGTTTCTAAACTCTCGGAACCTCCCGGTCTGGGTAAGAAGATCGCCCCACTGTGCGCTCTCCCCCAGTAGTAAGCACTAAACCCTCCAGTCCCTCACTACCGACATCCATCCACCGCAGGCAGAGGACAAGGCCGCCCTGCAGAGCCGCGGGTACAGCCTGGTCGAGCCGTTCGCCGCCGAAGAAGTCACCAACCACGGCTGGCTGGCCGGCCTGGTGGACACTTGGAGCGAGTTAGCCGTCCGACCGCCAACCAAACGGGCCAGGACAGGCAGCGCCGGCGCCTCTCGCTTCTGTAAGGCTCTGACATTTGAAGGTTTTAATTAAAGGAAGTACGAGCATGTTGGCAATGTAGTCATTTATATTCACCGTTGCCGTGACTGGTGTTTTTATTGAATATGAGCGGTTATCGATGACCTGACAGTGATGCTACCCGGAACAGCCCGCTTTGACCGGATCCGTGCTTCCCCGGCAGACGGCCGTTCAAACGCTGCCCGGCCGCCGATGGCACACGGTGCCAGGCCGCGCTGGCCGGCGGCCGTCTTCCTCCAGAGGTGTTCCGGTGCGGACTGAGCCGGGGACTCTGCCGGCTGGCCGTCCACCCACCAGGTGGGTCCGACCACACATACAGGGGTCCGACCAGCTGTGATCAGGCGGGCGCAGTGGCGTGGATTTACACATGCGTACTCTACAGTGAAACACACACTCACTGTTGACTGTTCGAGGCGGTGTTATTTGTATTTACATACATACAAGTACAAACGAATAAAATGTCGTCCCTTTGTAGATGATCTTTTCTCAATGGGTTTGAAGAGTGTTATCATGAGCTTTTATTCATTCCTTACTCCCAACAGCCTATGGCCCAATTACGGGAGGTTCCCTATCGCCAAAGCCTACCTCTCTCTTCAGCGGCCAACTGCGGGGGACGAGCAGTCCGCGGGACGGACGGCCCTGGTTATCAAGTCTAGGTCCTCTCAAAGAGCAACGCTTTTCCAGCTGCGCCATTTCCAGCCTGCAAATTAATTTAATATACAATGAATATTTTCACATGTTCAAGTTTTTAGTGGCACTTTGGGTCTCCATCCTTCAGGCAACCCCCTCCTTCGTTTGTCTTTTGTTCGTTCGTTCGTTCGTTCGTTCGTTCGTTCGTTCGTTCGTTCGTTCGTTCGTTCGTTCGTTTGCTTGGTTTCAACATTCGCTCGTTGGTTGTCCACCTTCGTTGGATTAGTTTCCACGTTCGTTCGCCCGTTCTGGTCCTCCATTTCCGTTCGTTCTCGCTTTCCGCTTCCTTTCGATCGGTCGCGTATCCCTCCATCCCAAACAGGCCAGCTGTAGCCGCAGCTCGGTATATGTATATTGCGTCAACCGGCGGTCGCGCAGCCGCGCGGACACAGACTGCAGCGTGCACATGAAGAGAAGGAGAGATGGACGACAAAGTCGGGACTAGAGGAGACGCCGACACACCGTCGGCACCCCCGGCTGGAAAGGAACCACTACACCACACCGGCCCGCCCCGCCGCGCACAGGCTGGGCGGCCTATGAAGCACGTCTAGCAAAAGGGACCACATACATGGCGCCCCAAAGCAACCGAATACAAAAGACATATAAAATTGACTTTCCTATATCGCTATGAGTAGAAATTACACACCTGGTTTGCTTGACGCCCTCCAACACGTATCACATTCAAAACAAACCCGCCTCCGAGACAAACAAAACGGACGCGTCACGGGCGGCACACGGGACGCTGCGGCGCGGTGCGCCGACCACGGAGCCAGTCTCGGCTAGCTACAGTGCCGCGGTACCACAGGCGGGAGCGCGGCGGAGCGCCAGGGCTCGCCGGAGCAGCGTATCCGGCCGGCCCGGGCCGCTGCGAACGGCGCCATATCACTGAAAGGGCCGCTCGGGGGCCCGGCAGCAGCGCCACCGCCGCACACGAGGCACTAAGTTGGAAGACAGAACCCAGACTACGCCGGCGGCCGCGCTCGCTGTGATCTCGTTCTAGGCTCTACCGCGGGCTATTGCACTGGGGGCCGCCAGTGGCCGCGGGGCTGAGGCGGGAGCAGCCCCGTCGAGCGGCCGCTCCGGCCCACGCCGGGTCACACGGGTTACACGTCACTCTCCCACACACAAACACAAACACAGGGCAACGTGAGATTACACGGAAGCCTGCACATTGACGACCAGCTCCACACGGGTCCAACTCCACTCACGCTGGGTCATGCACCACATCTACAGGGTTTTGAGTCATGTCACGCAGGAAAGTTTGGGCCAGATTACGGCTCACTTCTCAATCAAATCTCACCGCACCGTATCAGATTCATTCTCTTGACAGGGGTCTGACCGGGCCGGGGCCATATTGCTTCTAGACTGGGCTCTGAAGGGCACCTGTGGGTCGCCTAAAGACGGAACTGCAAGTCTGTATCTGCCGCTTCGCATAAGTGACAGCTTGGTGCCGGCATTCAGTGCTCTTGACATGGGCATTGGAAGTTTCCTATCATTCAAAGCTGGCTCGACTCCTATGAAGATAGAGTTACCCAGTAAAAGATATCGATGGTCAAGCTGGAAGTCACCCAAGAGGTGTTTATGGTCCGATTACGAGTTGCATGTTATACGTCCCCTCCACAGTCGCTGACTAATGACGGGGTCACTGACCTACGGTGCCCGACTATAGTGATTGATATGGAAGGCGGACAAAACAGCAGGTATTACCTACATAACCTAGTGATATTTGGTTACCTAGAAACCTCTACTCAACATGATTAACGTCGTTCTTTTCTCCACCCGTCAAAAAGAACCCTTACTTCTTCAATGCCGGTACTGGCTCTTTACCTGACTGGTTCCATTTGGCCGGACCTAATGGACCTAATAACGGCAATGCCTCTAACAGACGCGCCTTTTACGTCGGGTTGAGTGATATGACACGAGTCTCTACGGGCAGCGACCCACAGGACATGACACTAACGTACACGGCAAACTGGTCCAACCGCAACGGCTGGGAGCACAGGTAACAGCTAACAGAAAACAGTCGCGTCAACAAAACGGCATCAGCGATCAGCTGACAGCCAGTGCGCCCCCGTCGAACACTGACCGGGAGATGTGTGCCTACTGCCTACTGCCTACACACACACTCGCGCACACACGCACACACAAAGGTAATATCACCGCAGCATGATATAGCTTATCATCGTAACGCATCCAACAGCGCTACTGCAAGGTGGGCTGCAACGATTAGCTGGGAAAGCATTAGCAAACGGTACAATTTTCGGCGTGCCAAAATCTGTACACAAATGAGTACAGCGTATCTATCGCGATATTTACACGCATGCGGCCGTGCGGTTCACCGTTCACTGGCACGCCTGAAAGTCCCTCCGTCCATGGGCTAATTAATAGCGGCGGCTTGGTAGCGTCCAATCTGCCCGCCTGACTGCGCTAGCTCGGGACAGTGACAGACCAAAAGTCGACCCTAGGGTCGGACTGGTCGAGTCCGCTCTGTTCAGAGATTTCCTAGACGGGTTGGAAGAGCTTCACATCACCACCTCAAAGCCGAGTGCCGGGCTCAGTCCGTCCCGTTTGTCCGGTGAGCGCTGTGCTGTCCGGCCGCCGCGATACTGTCAGACACCGCAGCGCCCCGCCGGGCGGCCGTGGCTCGGTCACCAGCCCGCACCGTGGGCGGTGTGTCGGTGCGCTGCTCTACACAATCACCCGGCTGGTGGTGAGCAGAGCGATCCCCGCCAGCAGCCAGCTGGAGAGGAGAGAGACGGCCAGCGGGGCGGCGCTGCTCCTCCCGCACATCTCGTCCAGACTCTCCTCCTGGGAGACAGACGAGCGGCGATCAGAACCGGCGGCATGCCACTCCACAGGTCACAGACTGTCAGAGCGGGTGATACGCCTCCCCACAGGTCAGCAAACTGTCAGCCAGAACAGGAGACACGGCTCCACACAGGCCATGGTCTGTCAGCAGGCGAAACTCCTCCGAGTGGGTGTGACCGGTCAGACAGTGACACGGGGTCAGAAGGTCGGCTCGTCCGCTGGGCGTGGCGTTCACCCCTCGTTCACTCTAACCAGCGTGGTAATGTGTGAACTTTCTTACTTACCCTGACGTGGTAGTGTATTTACCCCCCGCGCCCACTCATCCCGGCATAGTAGTGGGTTTACTTATCCCTACGTCGTAGTTTATTTACCCCCCCCCCCCCTCCCCAAACACACACATACAACTCACCCCGACGAAGTAGCAGGTTTACTCACCCCGACGTGGTAGTGTACCTATTTACTCCCCCACTCACCCTGGTGTAGCATAGCGGTCTTACTCACCTTGACGTGGTAGTGTATTTACTGCCCCCACTCACCCTGGTGTAGTAGAGGGTTTCAACTCACCTTGACGTGGTAGTGTATTTACTCCCCCCCCCCCACTCACCCTGGTGTAGTAGCGGGTTTCAACTCACCTTGACGTGGTAGTGCGTGCAGTTGGCGGGCCGCCGCCGGTACGGCTCGAGCAGCAGCCGTTCGCAGACCGCCTCGGGCGGGTAGTCCACCTCCTGCGGCTCGATGGAGATGCGCTGGTTCTCGCAGGGACAGAGCGCGTTCACCACCAGCAGTAACATGTTGGTGAGTGGCACACGCTCCAGGACAAATCCCCTGCCGAGCGAGGGAGGTCAGGGAGCATGGTCAGTGGTCACACAGTCATAGGCCATAGCCGATGCGGAGCACATGCCACTTACCCTCTGACGTAAGGATGAGAAGTCAGGAGATGCTCGATCAATCAGTTTGTGGCAGAGGGGCAATCGCTACATGCATTCAGTCGCGGGCTCACTCAACCTTCAACTTAACTCACTTTCTTTTTATTCCACTTGCATTTTTCCTCGTCCCTTTATCTCATCCCACATAATTTTACCTCGCCTTGTCTCATTTTCTGATATACGTGTAATCACGCACTCACTCACTCACTTACCTACTAACGTTTTCACTCACTCGCTCACTCACTCACTCACTCACTCACCCACTCACTCACTCTCACTCACTCACGCACTCACTCACTCACTCACTCACTCATTCATTCATTCATTCATGCATTCATTCATTCATTCATTCTTTCATCCATTCTCTCATTCGCTCAGTCCCCCATTCACACTAATCATTTCATTTTTTGTTCATTCATTCATGATTAGACCTCTCAATACCTCTATCAGTTCCACCAGGTTGTTCCAGTCTGAGCAGTTGCCCGTTCCCCTCCCCTCCTATATGGTACGGTCGGATCCACTGACCTGCTGCAGGACGTGTTACCAATGCCGTGGCAGTAGCCCATCGACGCCTTCACCGGCCTGGCGTCCTGACTGAGCGTGTACAGATAGACGCGCTTGTCGCACGGCCGCGGCTTGGTCTTGGCGATGTGCGCCATCTTGAAGAGCTGCTCGTTGGAGACCCGGTAGCAGTGGTCCACCTCCTCACCGTTTTCGTCCGTGACCACCGGCGGCACGTTCTGTACACCGGGCATCTCTGGGTCTGCGAGAGACGTGAGAGAGGCGGGGCGGGACTCAGGTGCTGCGCAGGAGACAGGGGATGCTCACTGTTCAGTGATCAGTGATCAGTGCTCAGTCGTAATGACTGATTAACCTATAGACTACATACAGAGGGATGTGGCTCTGATGATGATCACCATTATCCGCTAACTGACGTTTCCAGTCTCGTGTTCGCCTCCCGTTGCCTGTTATCGGCCCGTTCGCCTGGTGCTTACCGGTGTAGTCGCCGAAGGACCTCTCGGCGGCCCAGGCCAGGTTGATATCGTAGAGGTGCAGCAGGCTGGACTGCACCAGCAGCCAGAGCAGCTTGCTGCCAACCCAGCTGACCAGGTACTGCAGGTACTTGAGCGGCTGGCGGCGGCAGGGTCAGCGCTCTCAGATGTGACACCAGTGGCCTCAGCGTCGTCTCAAACAGTACATCGGCAGGAGGCCACCCAATGTTGCTCGTTTAGTCTTTATTATCATATTATCATATTACTACAGTAGAAAAGGGTTAGTTGATGGATCTTTCTGGGTTTATTGCAAGACATGCAGATTTTGTGGTTACTGGAATTTCCAGGCGCTCCGTCACTCACCGTGAGCAGGGTCCAGGCGCTGCTGCCAGTCGGTATGACGTCCAGGCAGACGCCCTGGTAGTCGAACATCAGCACCTTGTGGTAGACGTTGTGGTGCAGCAGCGCGTCCATCACGGTGCCGTCCACGTCGCCGAAGAACTTGCCGGTCTCCTCGTGCCGCTTGGAGACGAGCACGAAGCCGGAGTCGTCGAGCAGGTAGCAGTCGAGGCTGTCCGAGGCGCACGTCTGTTCGCAGTCCTCCAGAGAGGGGCACTGTCGGGGAGGCAGGAGGGTAGCGGGCGTGACTACCACGGCACAGCGCCAAGGAAACGGCAGGGATGACACAGATCCGTACTCAGAGCTACTTAAACCTAATTTGTTTCAGTTTTTTTACGATAGAATCGCGGCTTAGCGACTTCATCATCGGTACCTGGGGTAACGGTCGCCACGTGTCAGGAAATAAAGTGTCAAGGTGCCATTCATGCAGCAGCTACACACTCTTATTCCGTTAAGCATCGCTTTTATCCCAATCGGTCAAAAGCTGAATTTCCATGTTTCTCCTCCTCTGGTATATCGCCACCCCGGGTGACCACTCACGCTGGCCGTGGAGAGGAACTTCTCGCGGAACTTGGAGTGCAGGAACTGCATGCCGACCACGGCGGCCGGCGAGCTGCCCAGCTCGCTGTTGACAAACACGGCCTGCGCCACCGTCACCAGCGAGTCGTTGCGCAGGCCGGCGTCGAACGGCACCGAATAGACGAACGCGTTGGAGTCGTTCCGGTAGTAGTCGACGGCTCGCTTGTACCAGATCTCGTCAGTGGCGCGCACCGCCGTGAACCGTCTGAGGGAGCGCAGAGGGGAGGGGTGAGACGCCAGCGTGCTGTTCGACAAAGTGGCTGGCAAAATACGGATTCCATCGCTGACTCTCTGCTTGTTTTATACGTTTATGGTTTTATTGGTGGTAGCATGTGTCAAAATCTTTATGGCTGTGAAAGCTTCACATTCCGAATGACACGTCTTTTGATATTACAATTATCAACCACTATACATAGAAGACGACGCATCAGAAGTTTCACATCCACCATCAAGAGTGGCCATCGTATCTGGCATCTGCGTGAGTTTACAGTCGCTCACAGATTGTCGGGTTCGATGGTCATCTGGGCGTCGTCGGGCAAGTAGGTTTTCCAGCGCGTGAAGCCGGACCTGGTGGCCACGAAGCTGTGCAGGGCGCCGAACGTGCGGAACTGCTCGGCCCTGAAACGGACACGCTGGTGACGAGCGGCACTCGTGCGACTTCTGACGGCGATCGCGTCAAGGCTGGAACGCGACCACTACTCGGGGATGCTATATCATACTTACATACATAGTTTACATGAAACGAACTAGTTAACCTTATAATTATTTCACCGTCTAACATGTTTTTGATAAAGGCAAGACCTACCTGTCGGCTGTTGCAAGCCCTCAGCGTCGTGTGTGATAATAAGGTAATCCTGCCGGCTGGCCACACGACGTTGCGACCCATAGCTCTACGATAGTACTTCGCTTAGATTTGATTCTTATATTACGCCTTTTACCTTAAAAAAAAACCTGAAAACACTTCTTTGTAGAGACGCCAGCCAGTCGCCATAACTTGTCTCTGTGGACTGTGGAGCCTATCTATAAGATCTATAAGATCTGTAGAATATCTTGTCAGTCGTATGCAACTATTGTCAAAAATAACCCCTCACAAAGGATCCGTCTTTCAAGTATTGACTAAAATCCATTAAGAAATGCATTTGCATCGTATTCTCATTCACCGTTTCGATATCACTGAGAATAGCGACTCACGTCGTTGAGTATACACGGTTGCATCTTGGATCAAAGCAGATGGGCAATGATCGACCGGCTTAGAAGCTGAGGTGGGTGCACGGCTTTTGCGGGTTCGCTTGATCGAAAACGTCAGCATTTTGACAAAGCTACGCTATACCAATATGTGTTAGTTAAACATCTATCCTTTCGATGGAGCCAAGTCATTGTCGTAGGATTTCAAGCTACCTGTCTTGAACACTCGATCATTTTCGCTCAGAATCCGCCAACGATTTTCCGCATTATTTGACTGAAATAAACACTGCACATACATTGCATACACAGCGAACAGGGCCGAACACACACTGTACCTGTCCATTTGTGCGATGTATGAGGCCAGTGGGTGCTTGCTAAGAGTGGATGCACGGTACGGTCAGAGTGCGTCAACGTCACAGGCACAGTGCAGAGCCGACCAGCGAAGGCGTCATTAGCGGAAACACCTCAGGTCAACCAAACTGCCTGGTTCAGTGTCTTCTTATTTGCGAGGGCAGTCAAAATCTTTGACTGAGATTTCCATCGACAGATACGCCATCGACCATTGCACATTTATTGCAATGCACAATGCTAATACCGTTCAATTGAATAATAATGTAGGTACAATTGAAAATCAATTCCTTGACCATTGAGGCATTTTTATCAATCACCTTCATTTATTTCGTAAAGGTGCCCATTTGTTTAGCTGCCTAATTTTTCCTCTTCAACTAGCGTGAACCGATAATGACGCTTTCAATGTAGCTAAATCGAAACGAATAAATTTGCGCATATTGCTTCATTAGGCTTGAAGTGCATAGTTGCATGCTGAGATGAACAAACATGTTGAAATGCAGCTTTAGAGAATGATATGGTGCTTAGGACGTCAGTGCCATTTCATGGGAATTCACTTACGAGTCGTACTGTCCCCGTCCAAATTTGAACTGCATCGTGACCTTGGCGTCGAAGACCACAGACTGGAAGAGCTCTCGGTCACCTGCGAACATAACACGGGGTCGTTTTATGTAAATCTCGTCATGCAATAGAGGTGAACAAAGGAAAGCGTTTATCATCAGCGTCAAGCGCTCTTACACAGCGTGAAGTGCTAGCGAATATAGAGTCGAATCAGAAGTTGGGATGATTAATGATTATGCAGGCGCATATATAATCTAACGTGTAAGGGCCAAGATAACATAGGAGTAAGAATACATTAGAATTTGCCTAATTTCCTGTTACCGGTAGGCAGGCTCTACCCAATTAGTCACGGATATTAACCCTCGCATATGTATTGTGTAGGGGGGTCGGATGGCCCCCCCCCCATGGTTTTCGCAAATAACTCGCGCAAAAAGCGGCCGATCGCGACGAAACTTTCAGTACCCTTGAGTTGATCAATTTTACACCTACTCTGAAAATTGCATGACCCTGACTCAAGTGACCTTTGACCTGTGACCTATTTCTCGAGGCCATGTTTGGCCGGAATCGCGATTCGGCGTATGTCGGCTCGCATTAGCCGCGCGTTTGCAAGCTTTTCATGGTTTCAAACATTCAAACATGTGATTCGATGTTGCTCCCATGCATTAGGGTGAATGTCAAGGTCACCTGAAGGTCAGGTCGGGTCATTGACCTTTGGTGACCTCGGTTCACTTTTTTGAGTTTTACATGTTTCTAGGCTAGTTTTGGAGCTGAATTCGAATTTAGAAACCATTTGAGCATTTACGAAGTAGTTTTGGTGCCTTCGTAACATGTTACGTCACGAAGCTGTCAGAGGCGGTTGACACCTACTACGAATACCCATCACGACCCCTACTGGTTGACCTGACCTGACCTGATCCAACCTGATCTGAATGCTTAAAGACATCATCTGTGATCAAAACTAACACGATATTTGTGGTCAGCACCCCGAAAAAACCATAGTAGCCAGTAGCCACACTTTACGACTTTCTAACAGGCCCCGATTTTCTCGACTTTTGGGTCATTGACCTGACCTGGAAGGTCAACCAATGACCTAGGACCTTAAAATTAGGTATAATCGGTTTCGTCTCGTGACGGGCAGCACGTCCTTTTTTCCGCTATGCTCTAGCTCGATCAGGGGCCAAACGGCAGGGGGGCCAACCGACCCCCCCCCCCCCCCCTACATTTGGAAGCTGGCAAACGCCGCACACATGCGAGGGTTAACGAGCATTTACGTTACAAATCGTCACATTTTTAACATTTATCGACGTAGTGCGCAGCTCCTTTATTCATGTACCAATATCGACTATAGTTCGTTTTTTTTTTTTCAAAAGGACGCTGGCTCCAAGTATGTTTTTCGAACAAGCACGTGTTTTAGCCGCCAAAACGAGCAAAAACTGAACCTGAGAAAATCGAACATCGACTAATTTTAACATGTGATTTCTTCCCGATAATTTCCATATGTGCGTTTTGGAACCAGATATGGGAACAGTGGTGACGTCATGCTGTCGAACATGTATTGCAATGTATCGTATAACTATCATGGACCGAACCGCTTACTCGATTATGATCGGCAACAGTGAAAAACTAAGTTTCACCCAAATTCGTTGACACTTGTCCCATTGCACGGACATTTGGGTGCCTGCTGCCACCAGTGACGTCATCATAGTAGGTATGTTCATATTTAAGAAACAATTTCCAGCTACTTACCGTGCAAAATTTGAAATCGATTATTTTTTCGGTAAGAAATTCTTGGCCAGACACTGAAGCTGCCAAAACTCACGTGAGAGCTTCGATATTGCACTTTGAGCCAGCGTCCTTTTGAAAAAAAAACGAACTATAAGATACTTACAGAAATACGTTTTTTCCTCTCTTTGGCCGGCTGAAACAGATGAACTTCGTCAAAGATCTAGCCCCAAAACTGCATAATTATTTTTTAGACTTTAATCCTAAAGTCTGCGGTAAATATATATCTGCATTCAGACCCTTACAATTAATAGTCAACCATATCTATCGAACCACGGGTCCTAGTTTTGTGCAACACCACTTTCAACAAAAAGTCAAATTACATTTAAAGGCACCATCCCACCTTAACATTAGTTTTGAGTTGAGATAGCCAAGTTTGCGGCCAGGCTCAGAAACCACCATTTATCCTGGTCGCAACCCCCGCAGCTTTATGGTGTTCAAGAAATTTCTTTCCTTTACTTGCAGGGTGGGACCAGCGTGGTCCCTATCTCTTAACCATTACGGGAATCTGATGACGTCATTAGGCTTTCGAACGTCCGTTAAATGTTTGACTAAAACGTTTTGTAGCACGCGGTGGTATACGCTGCTTTGCGCGCAACAAATGCCGCACTTTCAAATAAAGTCGCTAGGAACAGCGGAGATCCCAAAAAGTAAACAAAAGTAAAAGTCTAATATCTTGAAAACCGGTGAATATTTTTCGATGAAATTTGGTAGATATTCGTTTTTGCTCTTTCTGAACCGAGCGACATCACTTTCATGCCAATTCATTAACTTTTTTGAAGGTGGGAGGGTCCCTTTAACATTCTAAAGACCACGACCTACTCGCACAAACAGATCTCACTATAGCACAAACAAACATGTTTCTAAGACACGTCGCTCAAGCTTAAACGGGGCAATCCAGGCTGGCTGTCACCGTTGTGTGACGAACTCACTGCGATACTGTGACTGTCCGGCTTCCTTGAGCTTTTCCACCGGGTACAGTCGCTGAGAGCGCCACTCGAAACCGGGCGTGCTCATCGCCTTTTCGAGGAAGTGCAGATACTGGGACCTCGGGGTGTCTAACGAATGAGCGTCGTTGTCGTATTCACAGTACACCCACTCAGGGTGGACGCTCCAATTCGGACCCGCAAAGTACTCCAGTACTGAAAACACGAGCGAAATCATCAGTAAACGGTACCTCGTAGCCATAACGATACAAAGGATACGGATGTAAGTCGTTCACAGGTGAAATAGGTACTGGTAAGTGGAATTGTGGCCTCAGATCAGCGCTGCTACAATTTCCTTTAAAATCCCAAAAAAATTACAATTTGCTTCTACGCTCGAGATGGTTCAAGTTTACACGGTGTTTTCACTTTGCCTTATGTGTAAGAACGGTTGCAGCGTTCGCTCGTCACTCACTCAGCCTGTCTGCTCGCTCTCGTCACTCTATCCCTGTTCTCTCTCTGTCTCTCTCTCCCTCTCCCTCCCTCCCTCCCTCCCTCCCTCCCTCCCTCCCTCCCCTCTCTCTCTCTCTCTCTCTCTCTCTCTCTCTCTCTCTCTCTCTCTCTCTCTCTCTCTCTCTCGTCACTCACTCTGCCTGCGCTCTCCGTGTTTGGCCGCCTGTGTCAGTTCCACCTCGCCGCGGATCCTCTTCTTGCCGTAGCCCTCCGGCAGCACGATCGCCAGCGAGAACGGCGTCGGCCGTAGCGGCGTGTAAAAGTACTTCTGGCGCCGCTTGATCACCCGTTTCTGTGGCACAAACACAGACACACTCAGCTAAAAACGGGCTCAGTGTGTTGTGTTGATGGATCTGAGACGGAGTTCGAGGTGAATTTGACCTTTGAGACGATTAAAGTATGAAGAAGTGCGGCTTATAGTAAACCTTACGGGCCTAATTGGGATTTATTTTGCGCGGCACTATTACCATATTGTCCAGATGTTGTCGGACTTGGATCGAATGTTGTGCCTTCGAGCCGTCGATCATGCCCTTTCGGAGCTGAAAACGAACAGTTGTTGATGGTCAAATGCAGGTTACATAATGTGCTCTCAAAAGGAATAAAATTGGGTTAGTAGAGCATAAGTACTCAAATGGTAGGCAGTGCGCTTTCATTAGGATAAGATGTTATGCCTTTCAAAGATAGATTGTAGAATTGTCCATTTAGGCTCCCCCTATCTTAACCTAGAAGGCCCCTCCCACTACCTCGCACAGTTTGCTGTGGTTGAAACCTGAAGGCCCCTATCTCGAACAGCTGTGGTTGAAGTGTATTACCTCGCTCAGTTTTCTGTGGTTGAAGGCCCCTAGCTCGAGCAGCTATGGTTGAAGTTTCTTACCTCGAACAGTTTGCTGTGGTTGAAGCGCGGCTGGTCTACGTCTACAATCTCCACCTCAGCCAAGTCGACGGTCTTGTAGGTGGGCTTCAGGATCTCCTGAAACTGCTTGGTGGCCTCCCGGTGCTGCAGACGCAGGTCACAGGGCGGTCACACTTACTGGATATATACAGGACGTATAGCTCGACTCATAACTGACGAGCCCGAAACATAATTGATCTGTTGGATATCGTGCATTCAGCAGCAGACTCAGCCTGAGGTGGAAGGTTAGTCAACCGACAAAATTGTTGAATTTTCATATGTATTACTGTGGGCAGGTTCTCGGTGTTATAGTTCCAAATCCATTTGAAAGTGCGCCATGGTCTGATTTCCCTTTCTGCACCTTAAATTTTTTTCGTGAAGGAATTATTCTATGGGTGAGATAATTGTGAAGTGATTCAAAAATATTGTTTTCAGTTTATTGTCGAATAAGTGTACATGTATTTATCGTCAATGATGTCAGCACCTTAAGTTACTCTTGTTTTCTTTGGCGTTTAATAGTCATGCCTAAGTTAGAATATAATTAGGTATCTACCAAATGAAATGGTTAATATTCATTGCATTCCATACAAACTAGGCTAACTACCTGTTTAAATGCATGCGCCATGACCGTCTGCACTCTAATGCAAAATGTATAATGCACTGAACCCCTTTGTTAAATATTTTGATATTTTGCAGATTATTTCATGTCATATAGGTTTATAGGCAGGGTGATAAACGGTTACCTTCTAGCTACTACCTAATCATCAGAAACTCACTTGCGACTGGTCATTTTGCGGAGCTATACATTCCAGCTTAGCTTAAAGTGACCATCCCACCTTAACATTAGTTTTGAGTTTAGATAACCAAATTAGGGTCCCTTGCTTGAAATTAACGGTTTGGACACTCACAACATCGAGTACTGCTTTAATTCGGAGACATTGAATTTCAAACTTGCAATTTTCAGATTCTAAAGGGCTAGTCAATGCATTTGAATACCCCCTTAGAATTTGTGATGTCAGCGGAAGTCTAACGATTTTTAAAAAATTTTATACTAAAACCATCGGTAAAACGTGGTGGTATATGACGCTTTGCACGCAACCTCTACCGCACTTTTAGGATGCCAAATTATTGCTTCCAAATGACGTAGGAACAGCGGAGGTTCCAAAAAGTAAACAAAAGTTAAAGTCAAATATCTTGAAAATCAGTGAATATTTTTTCGGTGAAATTTAGTAGATATTCATTTTTGATCTTTCTGAACCACGGGACATCTTTTCATTCCATTTCATTAACTTCTCTGAATGTAGGAGCCAGAGGAGGGTCCGTTTAAGGTGGAAATGGCCATTGGCCAACAACATTCATGGTGTGTCATCATTTCCATCTGGTCATGTTACTTTTGAGTTGCATGGATGATGGTTTCATGCATTTTATTGTGAGGGCTACGCGGGCAGTTGTATGGTCAGTCTCACTAGCCATAAGGTTCCGAATCAGTGGCGACCCAAGTGCTACGCTATTAGGTACCTTCTGCATAGAGTGATCCATGTGAGGAAGAATAAGCTTTTCCCATTCGATGAACGCCAGAGCTAACTAGAACACATATAACACATTTCACTGCTGAAATAGTTGGCAAATGAAAATACTGAACATAATTAGATCTCTGCATATCTCTGTACTAACTATGTATACACATGAATAACGTAAAATTACAAAAAAAAAACAGAAGTGTTAACACATCAACAATTCACAAGGTGGAACCAAAAGCACCACAGGAAGTTATACATGTAACTATCAACACGTCAGAAGCATTGGTATACGAAGCAGCTAATGCAAGAGCTAGGTAACTGTTCATAGAATAGAATAACACTGAAAGGCAAACAGGAAGCGTTTTCCAAGCGGTAACTGCTGTCTTTGGGCTCGAAGTCGGAGGACTCACCACTGGTCGCATGTCGGGGTGGTACAAAATGTAGCCGTTGTTGTCGATGATGAAGGAATAACCGTTCACACCGAGCTGAAATGTCGGGAGTCGTACATCACCTTCATGTGCTTGATATATGTTGCATAACTACATCAGTAGTACGGTTATGCATATATTCCCTATGCAAATTGCAATACCTAACAAGACATCGCGCCAATGTTTGCTTTATGCGATATGATGTTCTTAAAATTATAAGTAATGCCGTAGATATCCTTCGATTAAGCTGTTCACAGTGCTGATTTGGTACGTTTGAGTCGTTCATCTTACCCTGTAGGGCGGCGCGTGTTTCTGGATGTCGCTGAGGGGCACGTCGGTGCCTGCCACGCCCAGCAGACGGGCCACCTTTTTCTGTAACAGGCGACGGCCAGGGAACCGGAGGGCGTCAGACTGGGCGGTGGGACGGCTGCAGCGTATGGCCACTCATCGCTCACATGCGGCCAGCTCGGTAATCGCTCTGTTCCTTTCTGCTCACGAATTATTCAGGCATGGTCCCTTTCTCACTGCAGAAGACGTCAGTGTGTCGACTGAGTTGTCGCACTTTACGTCCGGGTGGTATGGACATTGGATGACTTTTGCGACACCACATTCCAGTGTCAGAACTGTGCTGTTTTCTCATAGTTCCCCATGCTAATTACTGTCTTGACACATACCTGTCGGGAGAAAGTTTTAAAGAAGAAATCTATATGTCTGCCATTACTGGACATTGCATTGATTCGATGCAACTTAGTGCTGCAACTTCGGTGAAAAAGTGTAATGATAAACGTTGACAGTGACACTTAATTTCCCTGCTTTGATTCGCTGTATCAAAGCGGGACCGTGATCTCGTTTGAGGGCTTATATCACATCGGGCCATTTATATATTACCACACTAGGTCTGGTGCCGTGGTGACCCGGATCGCGTCCGATTGTTATGCCTGTTTTAAAGAAACATAATCCAGCGGCATAATGTGAGACAAGTTATTTTCTTTTAAAACGCTTCCAACTGACTCGTATTCATTCTTGTTTTCGCTAATTTCTGTTAATCGAAAACAATTTGGCGAATGTCTTTTGAGGTATCCAAGTCTGAATGACAAACAAAGGTCGTTCTCTCCCTTAAATCGTCTTAGCGTCTTTTCGGTTTAGCTTATCTCATCCCCAATATGCATCTCCCGGTGAAAAGCTACATGCACATCGCGCCATGGATATCTTTGTACAGTTGCAAACGGCATACATACGCATGGAAAGCGAGATCCACTGAGCTGTCAAATAATGATGTAATTACAGATGAAAGAGATATAAAAATCATTGGTTTTCAAAATGTAAGCGTGGTTATATATAGAAATAGATGAACTGTGGTCCAAAAGAATTGATAAGCTACTTTAGGTATAAGCAAGATTTTATTCAAGCAGCTTCAGCTGGTAGCGCAAAATCACGGTCTTGATAAAAAATCATGGTGACTCGTCGCTGATAAAAGCGTGCACACTAGCAGGCAATGTACAATATCCTTCTCGTACATCGCGCTCTTAATTTTGCTCAGCCATATTGGTTATAGGATCTATGGGCAGTTATACTTATTCGTAGTTTCCATTCACCTCATAAAGTTGTGGAGTTTAAACGAATTTTATCCAATCAGTGTCGAAAACAAATTGGTATCGAGCGACTCTTGGTTGAGAGAGGTTCAGTTATATAATTCGTTTGAGCTTCATAGAATATAATATGCTTGAGGATGTAATATAGAATATCATATGCATATATGCGAAGCGTTGCATGAAAATGAAATAAATAATGTTTTGCAACATGAATCGAAACCTAATTAAACTTGTGGATAAACAGTAAACACATCATCATCATTGCTGACAAAAATAAGGACTTTTTAGTGAATGCTCAGTCGAAACTTCAAGCACAGCACTGACCCTACACAATATATTCCTTTAGTTTAGTACTATTGGTATGCTGAGAGCTAGCATGAAGGAAGGCTGTTGTCACTGCACATTGTACAATTCTACCTCGAGTTTCTACTAACAAGTAGCTGTTTCAGACGCTAATGAGCCGAACAACATATGTCCGACTAACGTATGTCCGGTCCGGCTATGTCGCCGCTACGGACTCCTAGATATACGCTCTAAGCTAGCTCCATTTGCGCCGACTGGCGAACTAACGGCTTCTCCCCTAGGCCTGGAACTACGTCCCGAGGTGGCCAACTTGCGCCGCCTGTTGGGACCGACTGGTCTGCCGTCTATGGACTGTCATCTATGTACTGTCGTCTATTTACTGCCGTCTCTATGAATGGAGGGCCGACTCTCCGTCTCTGCAGTCGGGCCCGGAGGCCGCGGCCAAACATGCACAAACACTCGCGCTCGGCAGTCACGCAGCTACAAAAACGGGTCTGTCGCCCGCGGGGGCCGCTGGGGGCCGCGCTGAGCCAGAACAATCTGAGCTAGCTCACAGGAAATGAGCCGGAGTGTGAAACGGCAGCCAGCGCGGCCGTGTTCCGTCCCCTGCGAGCGGCACCCGGGGCACAGGCTGGCACCCGTCCGAACTATCGCTCAGCGACTCGAAAGCTGATCTAAAACTCGAGCTGAAACGCATTCCTGAATCGGTGGATACCTCTTGGGTACGGTAAACCCATTGCGTATTATTGACGAAAACCTTTTCCGTCACGTTCTGTGGAGTAACGACATCGGTCAGGGGCCGGGAAAGGTAAAATGAGACATGGTGCACAAGCATGGCGTTAAAAACGGTTATGTTGAAAAAAGTAAAAATGGGCAGTGACAAAGGGTTATGAAAGCAATCAATTCAACTGAAAATGAAATCATTATAGAGCCATGACTTGAACTAGCTAATTACCCATCTCTCATTTGTCGATCCTTTCCTCGGTAGATAATACGCAACGAAACGAATAGTGCATCAGCCCATGAGTTGAAAACTACCCATACAGTATCTGTAAGCGCCTTTGGCGTCAGAGGCAGCCGGAATATCTGTCCCAGATCGGGCTTTGTGGGGTAGGCATCCGACTGAGTGTAGGCGCGGGTGGCGGTGTGCCCAGGACAGGGGCCGCGCAGGGTCAGGGCCCGGTGGCACTGCGCTCTCACCCTGGGCTCCTTGAGTCGGTCGAAAACGGGCATGGCGATGGAGGTGACCAGTCGGTAGCCGCGCTGCGTGGTCTCGCTGTCCGTCATGCCCTGAGAGTGGCGAAGAGGCCGGTCAGTGGGGAGCTCCAGTGCAGACTGTCGGTGGGGCCTGACTGTCAGGTCCAGCAAAGACGCTGTGTCTGTTGGTGGGACCAGCGGCATGGCTCCTCCAGATCAGGGAGATAAGGCTCACTACTGGAGGCAGGGTTCCAGGGATTGGGTACTCCTCCGGTATGCATCGTCCTGTGTACAGAAAGGTGATATGTAATGTTAAGTGCGGTCTTTTTTTCACTGGGGATAGGACCGACTTCAATCGAAATGGTTTACTTGTTCTGCTGGGCCTGTCGGGGCAAGATTTGTTCGAGGCTGACGAAGGCTGAGGTTCGAACAAGATGAACAAGTTGCTGTCTTGTATCAGCCGGGGTTTCTAATAAAAACGAAATGAGAATTGAGAAACGGTATACACGCGTATTTCTCCTTTTTCCGTATTTTTTTTCGTACACCATTTTTGTAATTTGTATGATTTCGTAATTTTTGTAACATTGACACATTTTAATCCCGCATATGTAGGTGCATTAGTTGGTATGAACGATTTAAGCAAAGTCGGTATTTAAGATTTGCAACTATGTCTTCAATAAATCATACTGCTACAAGTGCACACGGTAGGTCTAAAAGGATAAAAGTGCAAACTGGAACGACGATTTCTTGAACATACCGCCATGGACTTACCGCACCTAAATAACTGCAGACTAATGGCGCCAGCGCAGTGAAGCGAATCGCACAGTTATTACTAGTTAAATCCCAAAGATACACATCAAACAAAAGCATTTCCGACAAGTCCTACGGGAATGTAAAACAAATTTATCTGGGCAAAACGAATTTTGTCTGCAAGTAATGCAAGTCCTTTGTGTCTGCATCTTAGGTATCTCAATGGCAGAGGGCTCTAGGCTGAATGGAACATCGTTTGTCCCGCGTTGCCATATTGAACCAGCTGAGAACTTGTAAGAGCTAGGCACGTTCAAACCATGATCTCACTCACTTGCGGAACATTTATCATTTCAGTTTCGTTTTAAATTACCGTGCCTACACGATGAGTCCCAGTAATGCGCTCTTGGTGTCCATCACAACAAGCCTCGCTTAGCGCGACACCCGGTCGCGCAGCCACCTACCCGCCAAACGTGATTGCATGATTTCCGCATAAATGCCTAGCTAAGTTTAAGTTGGTGTTTTGAAACCAAAAGTGCGTCAAACAATTTTACCGACCTGCATAGTGCATACGAGGAGACGTCACATGTGCCGCTCTAGATCCAAGCCAAACACACCAACACTGACGGACTGCCACAACAGCAAATTGAACTGCGTCTTCGTAAGGCGGCGGCCCGGGAACCAGATGGGACATCTGATCGACAGCACAAGTCACGTACGAGAGCAACGGCTGCAGCTGCGACCAACCGAGCGCTCTGACTTCATACAGCGCTACAAAGCTCAGCAGATGAGGCGGGGAGGAGAGGAGTGACCTCAGAGGTGATCCGACCGACCACGGCAGCACTCTGTCCGACCGGGCGGCTAGCGACGTGCACCAGCGACTGGACGAACGAACGAACGACGCGTCCGCTGCAGCGGCTCCATGCACATGCCAGACGACCGACTGCGGTGTCTACAAACCTGGTGGTGATGTCTCAGAAACTCCTCATACAACCGCCTGTCAGCGACACTCGAGCTAGTAAGCGCGTCAAGGTGGTGCGCTCCCGGCAGTCGACTGCGCCCGCCCGACTGGAGGCCGGCGGCGTGGACGGCGCGGTGGCGCGCGTGGCGCACCCGGTGCCGAGTCGCCCTCGCCCTCCTCCGGCGGCGAGCATGCTTCGGTGCAGGACACACAGGGTGAGCAGAGCGCGTGCGCCGCTAGCATGTCAGACGTGGAGCACGGCCCGCCACCAGCCCGGCCACCGGGACAGCACGCCCGACCCCACAGCGGACACGGGGCCCCGGCGGTGGCCGGCACAGGTCATCGCCACACACACAGAGACGAGCTGCAGAGCGTCCGACGTGCACCCACTCCGGCCAGAGCACCTGCAGGGCTGTGCTGTAGTGGCGGGAAGCTGTGCTGTGTGCATCACATCGCTGCAGGATGTCCAGAGTTTTTGGATTGGTGTTTATATATCAACTAGTACCATTATGTATAATTCAGTTTACATTGAGATTAGGTATATTCCAAGGTAACAGTCAACGGACCAATTACAATATAACCTACACAGTTTTTGTAGCTAACATTTGAAATGAGTTGGCATAAGGACTCCGAGCTGTGTTGGACTGAATCAGGGGGTGAGATATTACTGTTCGGGTGGTGTTTGTGCAGTTGTACACGGGGTTGGCGAGTGCGACCCATCACCTGCAGTGCTGTGTCACGGTCAAAGGCACACGTGGTGACATCCAGGCAGCAGTCATTCACAAGCAACGAAGAAACGGAGAGGTGGGTGCAAACAGGCGAGTCAAATTTGGAGAATAAATGGCAAAATCCAAAGTAGCGTCTGTGGGACTTACAATGTGCAATGTCCACTTATCGCTGAGGTCCCTCTCACGTAGGTCTAGCTACAAAGAACGAGGACAAAGTCTCAGGTACATTGCCGAACGTTGGTGCAGCGGTGCTACCGCGGGACATTGGACAACAGCCCGGCACAACCAGCTGGGACCAGGCGGGACGGCGGCCCATCACAACCAGGGGACCAGGCGGGACGGCGGCCCATCACAACCAGCTGGGACCAGGCAGGACACTGTTGAGGCAGCCACCAATGGTAGGCTGACTCGACTTAAAGGGACCCTCCCACCTTAACATTAGTTTTGAGTTGAGATAGCCAAGTTTGCGGCCAGGCTCAGAAACCACCATTTATCCTGGTCGCAACCCCCGCAGCTTTATGGTGTTCAAGAAATTTCTTCCCTTTACTTGCAGGGTGGGACCAGCGTGGTCCCTATCTCTTAACCATTACGGGAGTCTGATGACGTCATCAGGCTTTCGAACGTCCGTTAAATGTTTGACTAAAACGTTTTGTAGCACGCGGTGGTATATGCTGCTTTGCGCGCAACAAATGCCGCACTTTCAAATAAAGTCGCTAGGAATAGCGTAGATCCCGAAAAGTAAACAAAAGTAAAAGTCTAATATCTTGAAAACCGGTGAATATTTTTCGATGAAATTTGGTAGATATTCGTTTTTGCTCTTTCTGAACCGAGCGACATCACTTTCATGCCAATTCATTAACTTTTTTGAAGGTGGGAGCCGGGAGGGTCCCTTTAACGACTAACGGCTATGCCACAAACTTGCGCGGGAACAGACCCAGACTTTCACAGACCCTTTCATACGGCTCACACAGCGCACCAAGTACAAAGCACGCACGCGCGTCTCGCATGTACACGTGACTGGAAAGTATCCTTGACCAGGGACAGATCCATAGGTACTTACATGAGAAAATAGTTGACCTCTTTTGCGTTAGCTTACCTACTTAACAGGTCTACAGTCTATCCATACTTTTTTGAAATATTTTCTTTTGGTGCTCATCTCATGTGAATATGGCTACCGACTCAAAACTATGCCCAATGTACATTGCAATGAACTTGCCCGTATCTTTTATGCTTCCGGAGATTTTTGCGCTCACTCATACCTATATACCATGCGTCGATGCACATTTTCACACATATGCAGTGTACAGTGCACGCATTGCATACCTACACTTGTCTCACACAAGTATGCACGCGAGAACACACGTTTATAGGTCATTTATACACAGATACGTAGATCACGCTAGCAGCTCCCTCACCGACACACACGAACATACAACACAAATATACACAAACATCACAGCATGGATACGAGTACATGGCCAACAGTGACTACAAGCCGCCTCTGTAGCCAGGCGCGGTCAGTGTGGCTCGCTCCATGCCCAAAGTATAGGCTAACCAGTCTTTTAGTCAGCATGCTTAAATTGCATTAGGGTTTGGAGGGTGCAACTAACAAGCGGTTACTTACAGCTAGTTTTTTTTTCAAATAAGTTAAAACTCTAAATTTACTGTTATCTTTAGATGAAAGGCGCAAAAACATTTCTCGCCTTCGCAATATATTAGTACGAGACCTTATTTTTCTGACGTTACATTTACCGTCACATAAATGCGTAGCATTTTTACGTTATATCGATACGTTATAGGTATCGATTGAATAATTGTTCGCCCTTTTTGCTGAGTTGATTCAAAGTACCTACTCGTATGTATGATGATTCCCCTTTTACTGCTACTGAAGAATAAGAAGTATTCCGTCGTGCCGTTTGTTCGATATAAAGGGTAGTATACGTTATAATGACAGCAATTGCAATATCATATTGTATTGCGAATGACACCTCACCTTGGTTTCGCGATACATCTCGGCCTCCTTCATTTCGCGCTCCGACTTGTTGAGTTTCTCGACGCCGTACGTGAGGAAGTTCTGCATGTCCTCATAGCACTGGGCACCGGCTGAGCTCTCACCAGGCCCGGTGGACCTTCTCAGCAGCTCCTGGTAGTTTTTGCTGCGGCGGTACTGGCGCTCCCGCTCCCGGATCTCCCACAGCCAGTCGGTCAGCTTCGGGTCCTGGTGGCAGGGTGTCGGTTAGAGTACAGTCCTGGTGGCAGGGTGTCGGTTAGAGTACAGTCCTGGTGGCAGGGTGTCGGTTAGAGTACAATCCTGGTGGCAGGGTGTCGACTAGAGTACAGTCCTGGTGGCAGGGTGTCGGTTAGAGTACAGTCCTGGTGGCAGGGTGTCGACTAGAGTACAGTCCTGGTGGCAGGGTGTCGGTTAGAGTACAGTCCTGGTGGCAGGGTGTCGGTTAGAGTACAGTCCTGGTGGCAGGGTGTCGGTTAGAGTACAGTCCTGGTGGCAGGGTGTCGGCTAGAGTACAGTCCTGGTGGCAGGGTGACGGTTAGAGTACAGTCCTGGTGGCAGGGTGTCGGCTAGAGTCCAGTCCTGGTGGCAGGGTGTCGGTTAGAGTACAGTCGTGATGGCAGGGTTTCGGTTAGAGTACAGCCCTGATGGCAGGGTGTCGGTTAGAGTACAGTCCTGAATTGATGGCAGGGTGTCGGTCAGAGTACAGTCCTGATGGCAGGGTGTCGGTTAGAGTCCGGTCTTGACGACGTTATGCCGGTTAGAGTCTGATTTTGACAGAATACCTATCAATAAGAGTCTAGTCCTGACGACAGAATATTGGTTAGAGTCTGGTCCTGACGACAGCCTGTCAGCAGTCTGCTCCTATAAGCGCCATGCTTGCTATTTTTTCCAACCGGATTGCCGGTATCTACATAAGACGGGATCAGGAACCAGCATCCACAATGGGATCGGAAGTATCAGGAGCGGGTCAGAGTACGGCGATTGACGCCGTGCGTTCCTTACGGCGATGTCAGCGTAGACGCCCGTCCAGATGACCGGGTGTTGCGAGCTGAAGTGGCCGCCCTGCTGCGACTCGTTCACCACCGAGGAGAGCACCAGCGGCCGCGCCAGCACCGGGATGTACTTCTGCACCTGCTCACGCACCTCGGCCATCGCCGTCACGTGCGTGAAGTAGCCTGCCGGTGAGCAGGGGTGCCTCCAGTACCAATAGTGTCAAGGGACTCCTAGCTGACCTGGCGGCCAGAGGTGCCTCGTTTGACGTCATCAGTACCGCTAGACCACCCGGCGGCTGGAGCTGGCGGCCAGGGTCGCAGGTCGATACATGGGTCAGGCAGTTATAAGTAGCCGAGCCCGAGTCTCAGCAGTGCGGTCTCTATAAATGGGTGTCGCGCGGTTTGCTTCACATGGACGTCCAGTCAGTATAGAGCATTGACGTCACATCATCTGCTAACCGCTCAATATCCAGCTACAACCGACTTAGATGAAGTTATCACTCTAAGCACGTGAAATGAAAAGCCAACTGAAAGGCCGATGCATTGACCTATGTGGCTCCCGTTTACTTTATGTCGAAGTGCAAATCATTTGCACAAATTTTTGCAAAGCATTCATTTTATATGACAAAAACCAATATGACAAAACAGCTGTTTGTCCTAGTCTCGGGTGTCGTCTGTCCCTCCTATAGAGTTCAGTGGTGCCGTGTCCGCCGGTGCCGGCCGCACCTTTGTTTGTACAGGCCATCCACTCGACGGCCTCCCGGTCGGCCACGTCGCGGCCGATCAGGTAGGTGAAGACGCGCACGCGGATGTTGGGCCGGTTGTACGTATTGAACACCTCCTGGAACTTGTCGGGCGCGCCGTCCGTCACCAGCATTATGACCTGGTTGCACTGGCTGCTCTCGTTGTTCTCGCGCGCCTGCCGACAGGGAACGGGTCGTGAGCGGGTCCCTACTAGTTAGACTGCCGGTGACCCAACCGGACTGCCTGGGTCTCAGGCGCACTGCCCGGGTCTCCAGCCGCGGCCGCTCTGAGTTTACGACACACGCGGCGCGCCCCAGCCGTGACCATGTTTTATGCATGACCCCAGATCAAAGCGCTATGCATTTAGAATAGGAAGGTCGAGAGCTGGCTTACGATGATGTCAATGAGGTGAAGTTGTTCATGATAGACTATATACATGTGACTGGGATGTGCAGTCGTTATTGCTCTAGTCTGATTTTAGAAAATGAACGCGATGGGTCTGACTTCTGCTTATCAATTAAATTGAAATGGATTGGCAATGAATTTAAATAATTAGCCAATGAGTGTGATGTCATTTTTGCATTGCCGAGTGAAACAAATTGATCCCTGTTTTTTTTTTAAATAATTACCATAAGAAAGCGACTAAGCTTATTCGTATATTTCCCGATATGGAGTCGCATGTGCTAGAACTATGAGATTCAAATATTGGCGCTTGCACCAAGAACTAAATTGATATAGGTACTCGTATATCACTTTTGAAAGTTAATTAATTAGGGAAGTACTATGGATGAGGTAGATCGAATGTCTACATCAGTGATACATATGTGCCTGGTTGACCGCTTTTAATTTGCAACTGCACGTCTGGCGTAATATATAGGTAGGTATAGTTTTCATACTAATAAACCAAGCCTTCTAATCGTTAAAACTTAAGTGATTTACTTGTTATTTTCCACTCACCTTAGTTAAAACTTCAAACGCCTCGGTGAGGGCCAGTGTGAAGTTCGCCAGTCCGTGTGTAGTAATATTCTCCAGACGGTCTTTGAAGATTCGAATGTTCTCTAAATTGGCCTGTGAAACGTATCATAGACTATTCATTAATTGCACAGCTCAAAATATTGACCGATTAACAATCATTCGTTGCTGTATTGCGTCAGAAATGCCGGTTATAAATATAATCGATGGTTTTAGATTTGCAGCTGTATACAGCATCACACAGACCTGTCCTACGAAACAGTATTCACTGCAAGAGGTCAGGGGCTTTTGTCGTGTACCGTTGCATCATCTCCCGTGTTGTTATCGTTAGAGGACGCCGGCGAGATCAACAGAGTGGTGTGTTTGGGTCGGCCGTGCCATGTGGGCTCACCTGGACCAGTGTGTTGTTGAAGCAGGGCACCAGCGGAGGCTGGGCCGCCTGGGAGAAGTTGTAAATGTTGACATAGTCGTTTGTGTTGAGCGTGTCCAGAATGTTGAGCACCACGTGCTTGGCAATTTCCACTCGGAGGCCGGTCATGGATCCTGGAATATGGCCGAGAATATCAGCGCCAAAAAACGTAACTTTTCTGTAAATGTGAGGGACCCATAGATTTATAACGTGCTCAATTATAGGTATGCCGTCCTTCGTCGGTTAAAATTACTTAAAGGGACCCTCCCACCTGCACATTAGATTTGAGTTGAGATAGCCAAAATGGGGTCCCTGGCTCACAATTACCGGTTTCGGCACTCACAACATCGAGAAATGCCTTAAAGGAAATAGTTCACTTTCACGAAATTATTTTTTTTTGCAACGATTTATGATTTATTATGTTCAAAATAATCAGCAAAGAAAATAAAACCTTTTTATAACAAAAGATTTTTTTCTATATTTTGATATAGGAAGAACTTTTCAGTTTCTGTAAGGCACACGCGATCCAGTATGAAAAGAGCATGGGTCCCGAAAATTCTTCAGAAACAGAGAAATTATCGCAGCCACCGGCATTTGGGCGATCTGCTCGATCTGATAATGTTCCCCTGAATGTCCTAATTGATCAGTACGAGAATTTCTCTAGAGTTCTCGTAGATAATTTCTCTAGTTTCTGAAGAATTTTCGGGACCCATGCTCTTTTCATACTGGATGGAAATATATGCAAGGCACACATCCTCAACGCAAGACACCTTTTTCGGGACGAGAAATAGAATATCTTTGCCTAGGGTGATCGTTGGGCTGTAAAAGCTCCTGATTTATGCTCGTCTCAGCCCAAGCTACGGAACTGCTATTCCAGTTCAAAACCCATGTTAAAAAGTGAACTATTTCCTTTAACCCTCGCCCTGGCAGGGGGGGGGGTCGATGCGACCCCCCCTAAGGTTTTTCAAAGATAGCGTAAAAACGGCGGCGCGCAGCGCCGCCAAATTTGGCACAGCCTATGGGGCAACCTTTTTACATATGACCTGAAAATTTCAGGTCCGGGTGACCTTGGGTCAGGTCACCAGGTCAGAAAAACCGGTACAAGGTCATGGTCAAATTTCAATTTTCTTTTTGCACCTGTCCAACTCACAGTTTTGCACTGATTTCCTTCAAACTTTCAGGATGTGCTAAGTTCACCGAGTTGTATAACATATAGTTCGGGTTTTTTGAGGTCACTGACCTGAGGTCAGTTAGAGGTCATTACGTCGTAATGTTAAGCCTATGGGAAAATACTAAATTCGGAAAATAATGGAGATATCCGCTTCGTTCTATCACTTTTGTGCTTTGAAACCACAGTACTTAACAGCAGGTCACTTGGTGCTTCTTTGTTTGGTGTACTTATACATGGGTCAGGTCAAATGAGGTCAACTGAGGTCAAATGACGTTTTTGCCAATAACTTGGCACATAATGACGCTAGAGCTTAAAAAATGGTATCATTGTGTTCCTGGTGATCAGCCGAATCGAATGATATGCGATATGATGCAATTTGGTTAACTTTAACTTAATTTATTAATTTAAGTTTACTTAAAATTTAAGAAAAAACTTTAAGTACACTTAAGCAAGCTAAAAAGTACATCATTCGACGCGCCTTGACGTGCTGAGTTCACTGGTGCTTTTCGTTTTGCTCTATCTTAATTAGATCAAAAGTTATAAGCGAAAAACTTTTGACCTGTTTTTAGCGAAATTTTTGCATTTATACCCCCCAAAACCCCCCTAAATATTGACCTAGAGCAACCAAATTTGCACAGGGGCGAGAACTCCAGGGGGCCCACCTACCTACCAAATTTGGTGTTTCTAGGTGCCATAGGAGCCAATCGCGAGGGGGGAGGGTCGCATCGACCCCCCCCCCCCTGCCAGGCCGTGTTATGAAAAATGCCCTGCCAGGGCGAGGGTTAACTCGAAAATATTGAACTTCAAAATTGCAGCATTTTGATTCAGAGGGGCTAATGCAAAGGAATATCCCTCTGAATGTGTGACGTCAGCGCAGATATCTAACGATTTTTAAATGTTTGACTAAAACGTTTTGTAACACGCGGTGGTATATCCCGCGCCCTGCTGGGGGGGGGTGTTTGAACACCCCCCCCCCCTTGTGGTTTTTCGCGAATATCTCAAAAACGGCGGCGCGGAGCGCCGCCGTTTTTGGTACACCTTATCATACATCAATTCTACACAGGTTGTGAAAATTTCAGACCAAGGCCATTCAAGGTCAGGTCACCAGGTCACTTAATGTGACCTCACCTCATAAAAACTTTCAATGTCTGTCATAGCTACACCGAGTAACCGATCGCTTTGAAACTTTCAGCGATTGCTAAGAGCAATAGCATGTACAAAATGTATATCTCAGAATTTTGATATCGATGACCTAAGGTCAGGTCAATTTTGCGACCTCCCCATTATAAGTCAATGGGAGAAAATTGAAATGCGCCTCTTTTGGATGAAAGACATTATAAACACTCCCAAACACCGAATTACAAGTAGTTTAGACACACTGAACTTGAAAATGGTGTCCGTGACCCTTGTTTATGCCCTGAGGTCATCTTAGGTCACGAATAGTATCTAACAGTTTTTCGCAAATAACTTTTGATAGAGGCATGCTAGAGCGATGAAAACGCCTTAGATGTGTTCAGCTCGACGATACGGATCGACTGATATGCAACATGACCCTGTCCGGTCAGGTCATGACCTTGACCTGAGGTCAAATTTTCAAGTTGACCTTTCAAGGTCAAGTTATAGTTCATTCGATGCGTCTTGACGAGAGGAACACGATGCCGGTAAAAGTAAGCTCGTACAAGGCTTGGGTCAAAAGTTATTGCAGAAAAACTGTTTTCGAAAATATCGGCTATTTTTGCAGTTTTTGCCCCCTGCAGGCAAAACCGTTGACGTTAGGTCAAATCTGAGAAAATTACTCAGAAAGGGCGTTAATAGGGCTATCGAATGCGCTTTTCCGCGGCGCTGTAGCTCTATTGGTTCCCGAGTTATGCGTTGGCTTCTTGGAAGTTTTCGACATTCGACCTGGAAATCGGCGAAATTTTGCCTTCAATGACCTCTGGTGACCTGACCTTTGACCTGACCAAAAAATTGACCGAAGTGATTTCGTCATTATTTTTGAAGCTCTTTCGAACGCCGCCTTCCGCGTATCGCTACGTGGCCCAGGAGCCGAGTTACAAGGGGGGGGGGTGTTCAAACACCCCCCCCCCCCCCCAGCAGGGCGTGGAAATCCAGGACCCCCAGCAGGGCGCGGGATATGCTGCTTTGCGCGCAACAAATGCCGCACTTTCAAATAAAGTCGCTATAGGAACAGCGGAGATCCCAAAAAGCAAACAAAAGTAAGAGTCTAATATCTTGAAAACCGGTGAATATTTTGCGATGAAATTTGGTAGATATTCGTTTTTGCTCTTTCTGAACCGAGCGACATCACTTTCATGCCAATTCATTAACTTTTTTGAAGGCGGGAGGGTCCCTTTAATTGGTGAGTAAGCTGACGGCGGTAATATTGAATTTGCGGGTAATGTCCATACCAAACCGGGTAATATCCATACTAAACAGTGCATGAAGCGTAATTTATCCACACGAACAGTGTGAAGTGCCAGTGCGCTCAGCAGCTCTGCCGGCTCTCACCTGAGAGGTCGAGCAGAATGATGACGTCCTTAGGGCTGCTGGCGGCGCGGATGTACCACTCCCTCATCCTGCAGTCGAACATGTCCGGCTCGTTGGGGTCCACCAGCCATTTCACGCCTGCCAAAACGCGATTCAGGCCGTGACTGATCCGGGTCGTCTCAGACTAATCGGTTCTGTCACAGTGGCGCCGGTGAGTTAACCCTATTAGTGGCAGGCTCCTGGCTACCCCTATTAGTGGCAGGGGGGGGGGCTGTTTACGACCCCCCCCCCCTTCATATCTCGAGATCTAACGGGCCGATTTTCAAAATTCAAACGGCATTCGATTTCGCTCAACGTGATCTACATTTCTAAAAAATAAAAATTAAGAAAATGTCAATAGGGGGGTAGAGGGGGGTAAAAGCTGGCAAATTGCAGATACATTTTATACTGTTTATCACGGCCAGGTTTCTGAACCAATCTTAACGCAACTTTTGCCGATCGATAGAGAATGAACCAGGAATTCACATGGATCCTAAAAATATGCATTTTCAAAAATCATAGGCGGATACAGATCATTGAGATTGGGGGTAGGGGAGAGTGGGGCACATTCGTGCATGGGGCACATTCGCTTTCAGCAGTTTATGGGAACACGAGTGACTGCACGAGCTCAAGGTAAATTATGGCAATATGTCTATCATTGCCGCCCTTCGTTCACCGTAGAAGACAACACTGTACCTGCTGTCATGCTTGATAAAAACGCAAATTTGTAATATTCGTGAGCTTTCCAAACTTTTCTCATATCATCCATTTTCGTGATCCTGACTCGGAAATGTGGTTCAGCTTTTCAAAATTGGGGATGAAGAAGCCCACTCTATTCACGGAACTGCTGCAAACTTGTTTGTTGAAAAAGTGTCATTTTTCAAAAAGAAATTTTGAAATATATTACTAATAACGTTGTGGGGCATGTTCGTGTACGCACTGCCTGGGGGCACATTCGTGCATATTTTTTTAAAAGTTTTTGCGATTTATGACTTTATTACGGAGCGAGCGAAGCGAGCGTAGTCTTTCCTTAGATTAACGGAAATTTCTGAGTATGAGCGGCCGGCCGGCCGGCCGGCCGGCCGTGGTCACGCTTTTGCGAGGCTTATATCTCAGCAACCACTTGACCGATTTACACGCGGTAATTTTTGTAGGGTAGCTTCATTCCTTCTACCAAGTATTGGACTATTCCCGATGCATGTGGGTGACCCCTTATGCACGTGCCACGTGCAAAACGAAGAGGTGTCCGTTTTGTAATTGTTGCAATATCTCGGTAACTACTTGGCCGATTGCGCTGAAAGTTGGCATGTAGGTAGGCACCCACTAGGCACTGCATATACATGTGCCAGAGTTGGGGTGCTGCTGCACGTGCGCACGTGCAGGGGTCGTTTCCAGATCTCGGGAACGGCTGGACCGATTGCGCTCAAATTTGGTACACGGTTAGGGACCGGTTAGTAGGGTGCCGTGCACAAGTCAGTTGGGACCCATTTTGCACGTGCGCACGTGCAGGGTGCCGCTTCCAGATCTCGAGAACGGCTGGGCCGATTGTGCCCAAATTTGGCACATCGCTAGAGACCAGTCAGTAGGGTGCCCTGCACAAGTCAGTTGGAGGTACCCCCTCGAAATTTCGCACGTGCAAGACTCACCCCCTCGCTCGCTCCGTTAGTCGCCCCAAAAGGCGCTATACTGGTCTGTAGTAGGTTTCTCTAATGACGCTCGCCTGACTCAGTCTCGACTGCTTGCGACGTCGTGACGAGCAATTCACGCGAACTTGGCGAGGTCACGGAGGCCGGCAGTTGGCACATTCTTGTTGGCCAGCCCATTCTTTCTACATTTGTTGTGCAATGCATTCTTGTCGAAAGGAATCAAGTGAAATGGCCCCCTGCCAATTTCCTTTGGTAAATTTCTGGTAATGCCCGGTAATTTCTCGAATTTTGCCGGGTGAACGGAAGTGCCCCATCTCTTGAACGAATGTGCCCCATAGGTGGGGCAGTTTCGTGCAAATGTTCAGAGTTAATAAAAGTCATTTTTTCTAATGGAAGCAATAATTTTATAGGATAACTTTTAAAGAGGAAAACTATCTGCAATAGTTCCTTTCCATACTACAATCAACAATTTTGCCATTGCACTAACCAAAGAACAGATATATGGGTTTATCCATTTTTTGCACGAATGTGCCCCACTCTCCCCTACACAAAAAGTATAGTAAATAAGGTTTTTGTTGGTACTGTTTCTAAAAAGGGTGGTAATGGTCTTGTTATGTTACAATTGTATTGGTCATGCATAGGCGGTGTCAGGCACCTATGCTGGGAGGTAAAACATAACCCCCTTTTTTGGACGCCTGGATCCGCCTATTATAGCAAAAACGTGTCAAAAGAGGATGCACAACAACTTTGTATATGTTATCACGTGATACCTTTCATTCACTGTTCGTAAAACTGGTGCATACAGTTATAATACATCAGCATCGTGGTTTTCGCCCAAATGACTCGCTTCACGAATAGGACCCCCCAATTCCCAGTGCTCTGGAGCCGCCCCTGGTAAAGTTATGAACTTGAAATTTTCAGGGAATGTGCCCAATTTAGTTTTAGGAAAAGTCAGAAAATTTCAGCATCGTAGCTTCAGCGGTTTCGGAGATATTCCCGAAAAACCTGAGGGGTGGATGAAAACAACCCCCCCCCCCTGCCACTAATAGGGTTAATGTGCTGAACTACCTCTGGACACCGTGAAGCTGTCGAATTTATGTCAATAAATGATGGTAGAGACTATCAGAGTCACTATCAATGCGTGCGCTTTCCTCGCGACGTCAGCTCGCGCTGTCGTGTACTGCGGCACAGCATGACACCAGGCGCCTTACACTGCTGCCATCTAGGGACAAAACTGTACAGCTCGTGGCCCGTGGGAACTGTAAGGAGCGCGAAGGATACCAGTGACGTCACAGTGTGCCACATATACGGTCGGGTAGACTTACCTGGAAAGGAGACGCGGATTGAGCGTGGAGTCGCGTGGGCGCGCGGGAGGTGTTCGCTGGTTGTGCAGCATGTAGTGATTAATACAGAAATAGTTTCCAAACTCCTATCATCAGCGGTGGGATCTCGAATTGAAAGGTTGCTACCTGTGTTTCTGGGGTTGGAGCCCTGTCTGAAGCAGTGGATCGGGACGATCCGGGGAAACGTGTGCTGCAGATCGACTGTACGGTGTGGTACAGGGAGCAATGACCGACCAGCAGGAGGCTGGGGGTGAGAACGGTGGTGTGTTGCAAACAAACCAAGGAGGTGGTGCTGTCATGGCTTATGCACCGAGAACTCGGAGCTGGGGTGGGAGTTTGGGCCTCCCAAGCTTCAACCAGAAGGATTTCAGAAGTTTCTTTCGACAGATGAGGCGGCGAGTGGCCGTGGACCAGATGTCTGAGTCTGAAGTGTACGACTTGTGCATTTATGCAGTCGGGATGGAGTCGAAGTCTGAATGGCTAGCGACAAGGGTGGAAGAGAAACTTCCCAAAACAGACGAGTCTGTACCGAGTCTGAAGGACATAGAAGAATGCATCACCGAGTGTCTGGAGCCACAGCATGTAAAAGCATTCATCCTGAGGGATCTGGACCGCATGCAGCTGAGTCACGACCAAGATCCGAGAGAGTACGTCAACGACGTGTACGAGAAGGTGCAACAAGCTGTACCTGAAGGGAAAGCGGATCCTTGGAAAATCATGGCGATTAACTACGCTGTGAAGGGTGCACCGGCGTCATGGCAGGTCAGGCTCCACGAAGCGAATTGTCAGTCGTTGGACACACTGGTGAGGAAGATGACCACGATACGACTGTCAGAGAAGTACCGCGATGACTCGAGAAACGCAGAAGCACGGGTGATGAAGGTCAACCGGTCAGGTTTGAAGTGCTTCGGATGCGGTCAGACTGGACATTTTGCCAGTAAGTGTCCAAAGAAGAGAGCAGAGAACAAGCATTGGAACCGTAAGTGCTACGGGTGTGGCAAAGAAGGTCACCTGAAGGCGCAGTGTCCGGAAGGAAAGGGCAAGACGCCGGATAGAGATGGCAGCGGATGCAAGAGGATTCAAACGAGTGAAGTCCAAATGACCGTCACGATAGAGGGTCAGCAGATCCAAGCTGTGGTTGACACAGGAACGAAGTTCAACCTGATGAACGACAAGATGGTCAGTCAACTAGGGCTAGAACTGTCAAAGGCGGTGATTCCGTCGCTCACCACAGCCGACGGGTCGGAGCTCGCCACAAGAGGCTGTGCGTGGGTGGAGATGGCGGTGAACGATGGACCAGGGAAAGCCACCATGTTTGTCGTGGTAAAGGACCTGACAGATGACGTGCTGATTGGGCTTGACACGTTGAAGAAGCTGAAGGCATCTATTCAGTGTGGTGAGATGCAGGTCACGGTGAAGAGAGTTCCAGAAGCCGTCCTGGATCAGTATCCGTCGCTGTTTGCTAGAGATGGTGAGGATATCGGGCGGGTGAAGAACTTCCAGTATAAGGTGCGCACGAGTGGTCCGCCAGTCGTATCAAAGCCATACAAGATTCCCCTGCACTACCAGGAAGAGGTAGACCGCCAGCTTTCTGAAATGGAAGCACGAGGAACCATCTGCAAGAGCTCGTCGGAGTACGCGAGCCCAGTGGTGGTCGTGAAGAAAGGAGGGAACGAGCTGAGAATCTGCTGCGACTACTCGAAGTTGAACAAGCAGGTCTCGAAGGAGGCATACCCAATGCCAGCCTTGGGTGACGTCCTGTTGAAGCTGAGGGGTGGCAAGATTTTTAGTCACCTGGACGTAAAGAGTGCCTACCACAACGTGCCTCTAGATCCGGAGACGAAGCACAAGACGGCGTTTGCAGTTGGAGGCAGACTGTGGGAGTGGAACGTTCTTCCATTTGGCCTCTGCACGAGCGGACAGGTGTTCCAGCGTATTCTGGATGAGATCTTGGAGGGTCTAGACTTCGTAACGGCGTATGTAGACGACATCTGCATCTTCACAAAGGAAGACGACGAAGGACTGCACATGAAGCAGGTCCACGAAGTGTTGAAGCGGTTGGAAGCCGCTGGGCTCAAGCTTCGCCCAGACAAGTGCGAGTTCGCGCAGAAGAGCATCGTCTGCTTGGGGCACAGAGTGGCCCACGATGCAGTGAGTGCGCTGGAAGACAAGACGGGGGACATCAAGAGCTGGCCAGAGCCTGAAAACGTGACAGAGCTGCGTCAGTTCCTGGGCCTGTGTGGTTTTTATCGCATGTTTGTCCCGAACTTAAGTGCGATCGCGGCACCGCTCACTGACCTGCTGCGGAAAGAGAGAACCTTCAAGTGGGAGAAGGCTCAGAGGGTGGCGTTCAACAGACTGAAGGAAGAGCTGTCGTCACCTCGGACCTTGGCGGAAGCCGACCCAAACCAAAGGTTCGTCCTGACATGTGACGCAAGTGAACTGGGATGCGGAGCAGTTCTCGAGAACGGGGGAAGGCCGGTCGCGTTCGCGTCAAAGCGATGGACACCATCAGAAGCCAAGAAAAGCACGACGGAGCGAGAGCTAAACGGCGTGATCTTCGGCATCAAGAAGTTCGCCTACTTCTTGAAGGGCGCCAAGTTTCAGGTGATCACGGATCACCAGCCCCTGACGTACATCAGAGACAAGCGCAATGCTGAAGAGCACCTGAAGGAGAAGTTGCTTCTGCTGGGAGACTACGACTTCGAGATAGAGTATCGCCCTGGGAAGGACATCCCACATGCAGACGCACTGTCGCGGAAGCCGGCGCGACGGGTCGCGGTGACGGAAACGGACGTGGCAGAAGCCGTGGAAACCGACCAGCGTTTGAAGGTCGTTCGGGACGGATTGCTGACTGGAGGTCGGTGGAACACAGACGATCCGGAGTTGAAGTTCTACCAGAAGGACAGAGGAAATCTGACGGTGGAAGATGGAGTCATCTGGAGGTCCTCCAGGAACGGAGAAGAAAAGCAGATCGTGGTACCGACTCGACTCCGGAGAACGGTACTCAAGCTCGCCCATGATCATCCTGGAGCGGGACACATGGGGGTGCGACGCACCTTGGCAAGGATAACCGCGCACTACTACTGGTTTGACGTCAAGAAGGATGTCAGAAGCTGGATCGGGAACTGCCTGGTCTGTGCAAAGAGCAAGATCCATCGGGCGAAGCAGCAAGAGGGAATCGGAACCGTTCCTGTTTTGGGACAACCGGGGACGCAGTGGGGTGCCGACATACTAGGTCCTCTGCCGAGAACGGATCGCGGCAACAGGTATGTCCTCGTAGTGACGGACCTATTCACCAAGTGGGTCGAGCTGTTTGCTCTGAAGGATGTAACTGCAAGGACGGTCGCAAGGAAGGTGTCAAAGGCGTTCAGACGTTTCCCAAACAGTCGAGAGATCCTGACGGACCAAGGGAAGAACTTTGAGTGCGACCTGATGCGGTCCCTGTGCGAACTGCTGCAGATTAACAAGCTGCGCACGACTGCGTATCACCCGCAAGGGAATGGCCAGACGGAGCGCTACAACGCGACCCTGTGCGACCTGCTCCGGTCGTACGCGGAGACGAAGGAGTGGGACGAGATGTTGCCATGGGCGGCATCGGCGTTCAACACATCAGTGCACACCAGTTCGGGGTATGCACCGCATGAGCTGGTGTACGGAAGCACGCCAGCGGGAGCCGTAGTGCACGAAGTGCAAGGTGCTCCTGTACCAGACGTCGTGAAGACGTATGCTGAGTACGACAAGGACTTGCGCTCGGGCGTCCAGAAGAAGACGAAGGAGGCGCTGGAAAACATCAAGAAGGGGTGCGTGGTCGAACGGAAGAGCCGAGGGGAGACGGATTCGCTGAAGGAAGTTTCGTAATGATGAAGAAACAACGACGCAGGCAAAAGCTACAACCTCTCTGGGAGGGACCATATGAGGTACTGAAAAGAGAACGCCCGGACTATATCATCCTACGGAGAGGCGCGCAGTACAGAGTCCATGGGGCACATCTGAAGGGCTGGAAAGGAGACTATACGGGTGACCCTGAAGATGAAACAGACACGGAAGAAGAGCCGGGGTCGACCTCCGCTGGTGAGGGTGAAGTGATCTTCGGAGAGAGCGAGGCGGAAGACGTCGACGAGCGCAGTGTCGCCGAGGAGACGCATGATCCGTCCGAAGCAGATGCTGGACACTCAGCGCCGGGCAAGATGGAGGAACCGGAGGACGAGCATGATAGCCTAGGATTTCTTCCAAAGACGAGTCGCTTTGGTCGAAAGGTGACACGCAATAGGCGTTACATGTGAGTGTATGTGTCCCAGCGCTCCTGTCAATTGTTTTAAGGATAGGGGGATGTAAGGAGCGCGAAGGATACCAGTGACGTCACAGTGTGCCACATATACGGTCGGGTAGACTTACCTGGAAAGGAGACGCGGATTGAGCGTGGAGTCGCGTGGGCGCGCGGGAGGTGTTCGCTGGTTGTGCAGCATGTAGTGATTAATACAGAAATACGTTTCCAAACTCCTATCAGGAACAACAGCTGCGTTGGAGTCACATTACGTCCTAGTTTACCGTGGCATTTCCGCTGAAGCTCAATAAATAAAAATGATTAATAACATATATTGTTAAATATATTATTTGTATTTACTAGTAGTCATACCCGCTATATCACGGATTAGCGGTGTCGCGGTCCTTCAATGCCAGGACAGCGCCAGCCTTACTAACCATTGGGAACCAACTTTGCCTGGCACATAAATGCTACATCGGAGTGCGCTCTGTCGATGCATTGACTATTGATTATGTGGCCTATCAATGCCGTAACTACTGAATACGAAACCATGGCAACGCCACCCCCGTAGGTAGATGTATTTCCATGGCCTTACAAAAGTCAGCAAGCATTGTGAACGCAGCGAAGTGCCATAAATGCCCGCCTACGTTCATTATGTGCAGTCACGTGTTATTTGCGAGTAACACTGACCTGGGTATTGACGCATGATGCCGGTGGACGAGCCAAAGTACTGCCACGACAGTGACGGGTCCAGCTTGAAGTTGGAGGTAAAGGCCATGTTCAGAGCCTCGGACCACGCGATTGTGTTGTTCACCTCCATGGCTGTGAGAAGATGCATCAGTTAGCAACATCGTATGATTGAAGGACAGCCTCGCCATAGGCTGGAATAAAAAAAAATGTGCATTGTGCAACTTTCTTGACAGTTGCTGCGATTTGAGACGATTTAAACGAAGCATCTCGGAAAAGTGTCTCCTGAAGCGCAGCACTCACATTTGTCGAATACGTTTGTGGGCACGTGCACCGTGCTGTGCGTCAGGTTCACCGGGATGCCGTTAAAGTGTTTGGACGCGTTGCCGAGCACGAACTGGTTGTAGCCCTCCCTGAGCGTGGACAGGTTCTTGCCGTCGAACTCGTTCAGCTTCTTAGCGTTGTAGTAGAAGACGTCCAGCTGGGCTTTCTCGCGGTGCGACATGGCAGCGATCTCGGCCGTGTCGACGATCCTCTGTGGGCCGAGCGGACGGTCAGGGTGGTGGGGGAACTGTCAGTGGTCTGCAGGGCGGCCGGACGATCCTCTGTCGGCCGAGCCGCCGCACACTGGTCGGAAACGCTCTAGCGAGAGGCCAGCGGCCTTTCCTCAAAAGTTTTTTGCTTGTTATTCCACAACTAGTGAAGCAAACTTCATAAAACTTTGCATACCTTCTCTGTCATATGTAAGCTATCATTTGGATGTCAAGCACTAAATATATGACGTGAATCTGTTAAGTTATGACGTCATAATTGAGTATAATACAGGATCTAGCACCACTTTAAGTGAACAAGGGAAATTGGAAGCTGCTATTCGGGCACCGGGAATGGTTTCATGCACTCCTTGCAAGGTCCGGTGCTTCACTTTAGCATTGTTGACTTTGCGTGACGTCATTTATGACGTCACTAAGGCCATATAAGTTTTTCGTCAATAACTCCTGATCAGATGGAGCTAGAGAGTCGGGAAAGCCACCATTGGACTCGGGAAGACCTGCCGAATCGAGTGATATGCGATATGTCCTCCTTCAACCATTTTCGTGACCTGAGGGGCTCCGACCTGACCTTGACCCGAGGTTAACGCCTTAAGTTGACTTCACCCGAACACCAAGTATACCTAGCATTCGACGCTCCTGAGCTAGACAAGCACGATGATGCCAAAATCGCGGCAGTGCGACCATTTTTGGCAAAGTAATTACCCAAAAACCGAGCCCGTGCCTTGTGGCACTTACCTGACCTAAGAGGTCACTGGCTGACCTAAGACCTTAAATCGGGTAGTACTTGCTGCGTCTTATAACGGCACACAAGCTCGTTTTTTTCCGCGAGGCTCTAGCTCAATTAGAGGCGAAACGGCGAGGGAGTTGTATCAACCCTCCCCGGTCAATATAGAAAACCAATCGGTCCGGCCAGGGCTAAATACCGGAATTGTGATCTAATGTAAAAAGACGGCCCAAGGTAACCTGACGCCAGTGACAGGTGTCCTGTATTCGCAGCGTCTTATATTCACGAAGGTCTCAATTTCCACTTTCTTCAGCCGAGTGATGGTTACTAATAGCAAGGCTCTCTAAATGCAAGCCGTAATCGCCACGCAATATGTGGAAGGCTTTTGATGTCAATACATACATAAATGCAATAATAAAACCATATTGTATGCGCTTTCCACAAAATTCATAAACTCAAGCGCGTCTGTTTTTAATGACCAGTCAACTACGCATGGATGCGTGCAGGCCACACAGGTCAGCGTAAGCCGGGCGCGGCGGCCGGGCCGAAACTGGGGCGGGGCGGGCGGTAGTTGGGTAGGAATAGCGGCTCCTGCAAATTTTGCGCAAATATGCGCAGTTAGCTTTTATGTTGCCCTGGTGTAAATTTAAATCCTGCTTCATCTCACAAAAAATCAGAGTGGGACTAGATGGGACTACCTGTTGTTTCCTTACCTAAACTTTGCAGTTATATTCCAGAATCACTCTAGGAGAGCCCTCATAAAAAAGCTACAGTAGATCTTAGTTGGGGAAAAAGTATACCAAAAAATTTGCACTGACCAGTCGGCAACTTCATAACAAACATTTTGATGCATAATATGTGGGATTTCAATTTGGTGTCTATCAGCAATAAGACTCTGAATATCCGGCTCAAGAAACCTCTTGCTCCGCGTCAGTTTCCGAGTTCTGGGATACCCCATCTTGGGGGGCTGATTACAGTTATTTTTGGTCACTCGGATTAGTTTTTTTGGCCTAATTATAATAATTTGATCAATTTCAAATCGATCTATATAAAAAATAATCCGAAACTCCGGAATCGCCCGTGGCCTCTCGTGAGGGCGTTTCCGACCAGTGTGCGCCGGTCAGGGGGGCGGGTGGGGGAACTGTCAGTGGTCCGGGGCGGCCGGACGATCCTCTGTGGGCCGAGCCGCCGGTCAGGGGGGGGGGGGACTGTCAGTGGTCCGGGGCGGCCGGACGCACACACGTGAGCTGCTCGATGACGAACGGTACCGTAAATCGGTGTGGATATGCTGCATGCATGTAACTAAGAAACACTTTATTCGTCTGTCTGGTTACCTTGACGGCGTCCGTTTTGGCGTTCATCATGTTGATCATGTCGTTGGCCATCTTTGTGAGTACCACCATGCCGTCCACCTCCACGACCCTGGCGCCTCGCTGGTACGCCTGGAATACGGCGCGGCCGGAGCGGGCATCAGATAACGCCCTCTGATAGTATGTAGATTGGATATTGTTAGCGGCGACTGGGGTGAAAGACGTTGCCCTTGTTACCACGGCGTACGCTGCCGTGAAGTTCTGCGGAACTTTCACACCGCAATATTGTTCATAGCAAGTGCGTTATGTAATGGTCCGGATGGCGATGGCAGCTCTTCAAACTTTAAAGAGGCAAATGACAGCGATTTCGGTAATTATAGAACTATCGGTAATAAGCATTGGGCATTATGGAGTATGAGTCAGAAACTGAAAGCGTGGACATGTGATTGCTCGGGCTGGGTCTCCGATAACATAAGGTTTGTGTTCAATAACTTTTAACACTATTCGTTAGAAATGTGTTTTTTTATTGAATACGAACCTGAGTTATCGGACGGTAAGAAGAAAAACTAGCATATACCCAACTGCATAGACGCGGCTATGATTGTCTTAATTACACGAGATGTTAAACTTGAATCCACCGGCCCCCACGAGTGGTAGGGTCCGCCGATAGCCCTACGGGGCGCGGGTTAAGCAATGGACAATTCAACATATTTCAGTCTTCAGTTGAAAAAAAATACCTTCCTTCGCATAGTTCCTAGCAATAAAAAATTAGGTTCGGCCTGCATGCAGATGGCTGCGTGAGCACACTCGGGCCACTCTGTATTTTCGACTGTTGTATCCCGTTCCACAGCATTGTCGCCGTCGCCGTCTCGTCGCATCTTCGCCGTCGCAATCCTACCCGTGGCCCTTCCCATCCCAGCAATCAGCTCCATCTATTGCATACCCTTCTGTCGCAGCCCACCCGTCGCAGCCCTTACTAGGTCGCAGCTCAGCCCTGTTCATCGCAGCTCTACCCGTCGCCGTCGCAGCTCAAACTATCGTTTCTTAGATCGTCGCGGTCTACTCGTCGCAGTCCAGACGGTCGCAGTCCAGACGGTCGCAGTCCAGACGGTTGCAGCCCTTTCTTCACCCCGCCCGGCTCGGCTGCGGCCGTTAATTGGCGGCCGCTGTTCCTCACACGAGCCGGGCGTCTCCAGCCGATGACGGCTCAGCGGGTGGCCACGCCGCCGCCGCCGGGTTGAGGATCGATGCCGATGCCGGCCGACACCGCCACAATCGACCGGCCGACGGCACATTTATCTTGGTCTCAGCATAACCGGGTCGTGTTCCGTGCCGGCGGCGGGTCGCTGCGGGGCAGTGGCCGGGGCCGGAGCGGCCGAGGGCCGTCTCTGGGACGGCGGAGGTCCGCTGTAGAGCGGCGGAGGTCCCACCTAAAGCGGCGGGAGAAGGCTCCTTCTAGAGCGGACAGGATGTCCGCTTCGGGGCGGCTGCGTTTGATTTAGAGCGGTGTACGGGAGAGGGCAAATAAGACGAGACAGGACAGCGTCCGGTGAACTTCAGAGCATGCCGCTTTTTGGAAGACTTTGTTCTCCAGTTTTTGTGTTGTTACAGCTAAGATCATTCGTTAGATTACTGCTAATACTATAAGGAATCGGCATGGATTTCATTGCTCTACGGAGGCCAATAAATGTTTTAACTTTTTTATTGCTGCATGCTTAGCTTTTAGTTGTGCATCAATGTGATACGTATCCTTTCAGAAGATTGATTGTCCTTATTCATAACCCTTTTGCAGCGAGCTACAGACATAACTACAAATTACTCCGGCTGTTGTTAGACCGATGCAATTTAATACTGTCTCAGCGTCTCAGGTTTTATGCGTATGTCGCCACAGCAGACTTCCCCACTGCTCGTGGTCAGCAATGAGCTGCTGCTGCTGCTGCTGGGTGGTTGTTGCGCTGCTCTTTACGCCGGTAGCGCCTCCGCAGCCGGTCAGCGTCTGGCTCCACCCCGGGGTCACGTGAGTGGGCCGTGCCGCGGCGTCTGGCGCAGACAGCGGCCGGACGGCGCCGTCGGCGGCGGCCCCGGCCTCGCCGCCCAGAACACCGCTCAGCGGCGGCTGACCACTCGGAACCGGCTCGGAGTTTTCAACAAGAGCTATCTTGATTCACAATCACATCAATAGAAAATAAAACTGAAAAAATCGCAAGATGAAATGAGAGTGAGTCTATTGACTCGCATACTTTATTGAATATGCTTTATCGTTTGAGTTGAATTTTTAGTCTACATTCGGTTGAGTGTTTGAAGTTTTTACCGTAGTTTTAATTGCTGGATGCATGCGAGTATATCGCAATTCAGCGTCGCCTCGATAAACTTGGTCTAGTGAGTACAACTGTATGTACAAGAGATGCGTAGATTTTCTTCTTCACTTTGAAAATTAGTTTGTAATCGGCGGATGGTGACAACTGACAAGATAGGTATTCGTCAATCTGAATCATATCAAATTTGCCAGCCGATGTCTGTTGATTGGCTGAACGGTCGCTTTTGGTTAATCCGCCTGCATTCCAGGGCAAGTGTAGCAAATTCCTGGCCAAGATTTCGGAACTAAAACTCATCTTTTTTGGCTAACTTGACTGATAGATTGTGAATGCTGCTCAGTAAAACGACTTCTTAAAAGTTGTGTATTCCTGTTAATTTTGACTAATTATATTTGGTACCTACTTACATTTTCTTACCAAAAAAAAAAATCAGATACCAGTAGTGTAAATCATCACGAGTCGCTGTCCTTGTAATTGTTAAATCCGGTGTTCAAATCAGTCACGCTAGTTTTCAATTCGGGTCTTACGTAACACTCGGCTTTAGGAGGTTCCGCAAGTTCCCTTTGGACTGTTCTTATATAACATTCATTTTTCGAAATTTCACGCTTAATATTGCTCCCATCTTTCCGAGCATCTCGCGAAAATGAAATATGGGATGGTTTATTGTCATCTCAGCAAATATCATTTTGGCTGAATTCAGCCGCTCGCCTAGGGACTGGTACACTAATCTCACAGAGAGGCTCGGCTGTCGCCAAAGGAGCCGCCGGCGGGCGCGCTAGGCCAATTCCGTCGAATAATCAGAGCAGATTTCTAAAGCATTGCAGAAGAAACGTCGTTTCCTCATCTCTGAGTTCGAAAGCAATACCTAACTACCTGGTTTGGTCTCTTACTGCACCTTAGGGTCTACATAAATACGTAATTTATCCGGAACATGAACTTATGGTGCAACCATTCGCTCGTTCACGGGGAGAGATTAACCACCTGTTCATGCTTTCCAAGGCTGCGATGAGCATGGCGTAACAATTCTTTGGCAACTTTTGATAGTTATTTCAACAGCCGTCGATGAAGTTTTTATGGTTGTTCTCGCTTCATAGGTCAGATCCGACTCCCTGGTCAAGTATCCAGACAGGTTTTTCCACTTCTCTCTTTCGTTTTTTTTTCTGTCTCTATCTCTGTCTGTCTGTCTGTCTGTCTGTCTGTCTGTCTGTCTGTCTGTCTGTCTGTCTGTCTGTCTGTCTGTCTGTCTGTCTGTCTGTCTGTCTGTCTGTCTGTCTGTCTGTCTGTCTGTCTGTCTGTCTGTCTGTCTGTCTGTCTGTCTGTCTGTCTGTCTGTCTCTGTCTGTCTGTCTCTGTCTGTCTGTCTGTCTGCCTGTCTGCCTGGCTGCCTGGCTGCCTGGCTGCCTGTCTGCCTGGCTGCCTGTCTGCCTGTCTGCCTGCCTGTCTGCCTGCCTGCCTGCCTGTCTGCCTGTCTGCCTCTCTCTCTCCCTCTCCCTCTCTCTCTCTCTCTCTCTCTCTCTCTCTCTCTTTTTCTTACATCAGGAGGGATGGGTGACTGAACTGTGGAGCTGATAAAGTGACTGAAGCGAATACGTTTTCTTACGCCAGCGCTGTTACGCGAGAGACACAATCGGGGGTGGATTGCACAATGGCATGCAGATTGCAAAATTCGTGAAAAAAAAATTATTAACACTCAGAAATGCGTGTTGGCTTCTAAACGGATGATGGGATTTAACAATTACTTAGCGATAAGCCTCGAAGCATATAATGCCTAAGCATTCGTCCATTAAGGTTGGTCGTTGGGCGCTAACAAAACATAAGGTATTCCCGTATAGGGCGCCTCATTAAAATTTGAATACCTTAGCTCTTTACTACCGTATGTTCACATGCACTGCACCACAATACACTACACTGCACTGCACACGCAATGTACAATGCACACGCAATGTACAGTACACCTCCACACATTCATGCCAGTGCTGTAACTCACGTTTGATATGTTTTTGTGCGTCGTATGCAGCTCACACACTGTTGAGATCATGTTCCCAAAGCTTCTCGCCCAGTTTTGTACCCTGTGGAAGAAAACCAACATTTTAGCGAGCAAACTTGACACTCAATCCACTGTCACAAAGTGATGGGTCGGTTTCCACGGTCCGATCCTGCAAAATGTCAGTGCCTAGCCGCTACGCATTTTAAGATATTCGTTCTTTCCATGCTTTGTGATGTGCTCTTGTGTTGGAATATTGGCTTTCGATGAACGTTCTAAATAGAATGATAGATTGATGTGAGGAAGATATTATGGCCTTATTTGATCAACTACAACAGTCTTCGCTCACATCGTGCCTTTTTGACTAAATTATTCAGTATCCAGACCTGTTCCTCCTCTAAAGTTTGGCTTTATTGTCGAAAAGTGAATTATGTACAATTACGCACATAGCATCCATGAATGTAATTCACAGGAGCCTCATTGGATAGGGAACAGGCTCACCCCCCCCCCCCCCTTGCATGTGCCGGGTCAGCGGGCCGCTGTGTCAGACTCTGCGGCACAGCGCGGTATCGCACGTGCGCGCAGGGGGGGGGGGGGGATGGGCGCGGCGCGGGGAGAGGAGCGCTCAGCGCAGGAGCTGGCAGGGCGGGAGGGTTCAGGGTGCCGGCGGCTGCGGCGCCCGCCTGCCGGCCGTCTCTGGGGCCCCGGGCCGCTGGCCCCAGCTATTGATTGGAGGGTGGCGGCGGCAGCCTCCGCTCTCAGGGGCCGTCCCAGCCGGCAGAGCGACGGTCTGGCACCTCCTCCCCCCCCCCCCTGCTCGGCAGTCGGGTCAGTCGGCCGGGGGGGGGGGCGGGTCACGGGGTGCGGGGGGTCAGGCCACTCGACTCAACGACCGCAGCGTGCGGCTGATTGACCAACATTGGCTCAGAAGACATAGTTGGGTGTGGAGGGTTGTAGTATGTATAGTCGACCACAGAATGATGTTCCACTCCTCAGAAGCTATCAGTTGACCGGGGCGCTAAGTTGTGCCGTTTATCACGCAATTAAGCGTGTCGATTGTGAGCATTGGGACAAAGCTATAATTTGTGAACTCAGCCCGTGTGATGCGGCACAGCCTACCACTCCAGGCAAATTATTGCCTGTGAAAAGTGGAACATCATTCTGTAGTCGACTATACATACCAGGCCGCTGAGCCATGTGCGTTGATTATGGGTGTGGCTAGTCGGTATCGGTCAAAATGGATCCGCGACAGAGGAAGCATCTGGTCAAAGAAGGATGAGTCTGCCTCTATAACCTCATACTGGTCCGTACCACTTTCTCATGTGATATTTTTGTGGTTTCTATCAAAGCTGAATAATTCATGTAGTTTAACTTGAATCCATCCTTTCTGCTCTGTTCCGAAATAATAGACTACTGATTACAAAACATGTCATGGACAGAGGCGTTTATGTTTCCCCGTGTAAGCAACCGCCGTGATTGTCATACCGTGGAGGGTGTGGTCTGTTGACGGTTCATCGGAGTCCGAAAAGACTGTTCAGTGTTCAGGGCAGCACAGAAATAACCCTGCATCGGAAGGCCAAAGGGTTCTGTCATATGCTCACTGACAGCAGAGCTCCTTTAATCGCCTCATTTCAGAGGAACAGCGGGCTCTGTGTGCCAGTGTCTTTGCATTCCTGGCACAGCCCGAAATATACCAGTTTTGGCGGGCCGACAGCGGCCACGGGCACACGTCCTGTCGCCAGCCTTGCGGACCTCATTATTGCGACCGGGGCATGTGGCCACTGGTCAGTGTTGTGGTTCAGCCCAGCCCCTGCCACTTCGGTATCAACAAACCGTCTAGGTCCTGGATAATGATGCTGCTCAGTGCTCAATGCTCATGTTACACATGGTGAATCATTTATTGCACTCACAGGAAATTAATTAAATTTAATTCATGACATACCTAATATCACAATACGAAAATTGCCCTTTAGATGCAATTTTTACCTGCCTAATTAATACCTCTATTTCACTTTCAGTCATTATTTTATTACTGCGGAATGCGTCTGCCTGCATGTTGGAACTATGGAAATTGTTATATTTATCATAGGCGACGACGGTAGACGCTATGGCATTTTGGTGAGTGATAGATAATAACTACCTTTTCATTTAGGTACCTACCTTTCAAGCCGCAACACAAAAACATCCAGATATCAGTATCTGATTTCATTAGATTCAGCCGCACTACACACCTCGTACTCAAACCACCTGCAGCCAGCACTATCATAAATCAGGCCATGTTTTGTGGAGGTCACTCGAACATGGAACGAGCCACGGGTTGTCAGAGCCGAGAGGTATCTACGGGCGGCGCGCCGGTGCGCGGAGGGATGCTGCCAACCCCACTGTCTCAAGCTTCTCTGTGGAAAGCTGCAGCGTAACTGACGCTCTCTCTCTCTCTCTCTCTCTCTCTCTCTCTCTCTCTCTCTCTCTCTCTCTCTCTCTCTCTCTCTCTCTCTCTCTCTCTCTCTCTCTCTCTCTCTCCCTCTCGCTTTCTTTCCCCCTCTCGCTTTCTCTTTCTCGTTCCTCTTTTCAATCTTGCTCCTCTTTCCCTCACTCTTCCTTTTCGTCTCTCCCGGTCATTAGCCCGCTCTGCCCCGCTCAGGTCTCCAACTTAGCCTGTGACAGTTGTTGGTTCCCGGCCAGCGCAGACTCCGGCTCGGTCTACGGAACATGAAGTAATGCGGCGCCCAGAATCCTCTGCCACTCCTCCAGTAGGTCACATAACCTTGGGTCACGCTTTGCCCTGCCGTATTGGCTCGTGTCGTGGCAGGTCACGCCGCACTGTGTCGTAGCATGCTACGTCGGAACTCGAATCGCGGTGTGTTTTGTTCCGCAACTTGCGATGTTATTTCGCATGAAGGAGTTTGACCGAAGTCAGCCCACTGCCCATCCAAAAATATAGGTAGCCATGCCATGTCGATGCCCATGCTATACCCTGCTGCATTATACCATACTGCGGGCGGCGGCATGACCGGCCGGCCGGCCGCCGACGGCCCGGTGACAGATCTGCCGCCTTCTACTGTCACCCGCAGAGCGGTGCCGCCCGTGTCCGGCGCGCGGCGGCTGCGTGCCAGCCAGCGCCGCCCCTGCCCTTCCTCCCCCGCCGTACGGCACGATGTCGCTGCACCGCCCTGATGGCATTCTCCGGCGCTCCGGTCGCCATGGCAACCACCAAGTCGGAGCAGCGGCTCGGCAGGTTGCCGCCGCCGCCGGCCAGAGAGTGTCCAGGGGCTGACAGGTCGATGAACAGTGGACACCCGGAGTGTATCCCAAGTCCCGACCAATCAGCGTCGCTGTACCACGTCCAGATTGCCAAGTTGTGGGAGCCCAGCCAGGGTCCAAATGTACCGGTCCCAAACACGAGCTTTTAATCCCGTGTCATGCCCTGAATCTCGTGTCCACTGTCCAAGTCCCGTGTTCTCAGTTCAGCGTCCCGAGTCCGGAGTCCCGTGTACCGTGTTCCGTGTCCCCAGTCCCAGAGTGCCGCGCCCCCAGTCCCGAGCCCCAGTCCCGTGTCACGAGTAATGTCACGAATAGAATCCCGTGTCCCGAGTCCTGTGTTGGTGTGACGAGTCCCGTGTCCCCAGTCCCGAGACCCCAGTCTCCAGTCCCGTGTCCCATGTCCCGCTTCCTGTGCCCAGAGCCCCACAAGTCCCGAGTCCCCAGTCCCGTGCCTCGTTTCGCGAATCCCGTGTCGGTGAGACGAGTCCCGGCGGGGTTCGCGCTCGATCCGAGTCTGAGCCGGGTACCGAGTCACCGGCTAATGACTCGAGTCGCTGGGAGCGCAGCGCACCGCCGAGCTATTGCAGGGTCACCGTCGGAGCGGCTGCTGATCAATTCAGCCGCTTCCTCATGGAATATTCATCCGGGTCAGTGTTAGAAGCGTTGAGGAAATTATACATGTGCATAACCGACGGGATCTAGCAATTCAGCGACTAAATAATAAATGCATTTAAACGAGCAGAAGGTCGCATAAAGTACAACTTATAAATAAGATTTCAACGAAATGTGAAAATAATGCACATTGAGTCAAAAGACGATAAGCGTGCTGCCCCGAGGGCTTCCCTTCCGTTCGTCGGAACATTCAGCATCACCATGAATAGGTATTTGATAATTCATGGTGGTCTCGATGCAAACGTACATTTTTTAACAAAGATACACGATAAGCACCTATTCAGATTGCAAGCAAACCAACTTGTTTGCATTAAAATATTGTACAAACGTAGCTCTGTAGTTAATTTATTATGGACAGTACATAACCCCGTTGTTGTTCAACTTACACGATCATGACAACCTACAAAGCGATGGAATTTCAGAACGTTAGCCAAATTACAATCCATGTATGCACTGCCTTATTTTAAATAAGGCAGTGAAGCAAGGGGAGAGTCTGAGTTACCATTATGCGCCCGCTTAAGCAGAAACTCAACCTGTGCTTAAGCAATGTGTCTGGTGAATGCGGTCTCTGCTTAATAACGATCGATGAACATTTTTCTAGCTAAATCTACCTCCACTCTTATAATTAAAGTACATTTTATTGGAACAAATTACGTTTTTCCTAACCGCTGCAAAAGGTGCATGTAGGCACAGCATGCCCTAATTGCGCCATGTGAAATAATGCATTAAAGAACCATGCAAAGTTACACCTTTTACTGGCAAGGGCGATAATGTTCCCCTGAATGTCCTTATTGGCCAGTACGGGCCCCTCAGACCTTCTGGGGTCAAACTCCGGCTTCTGACACCAATTATTGAAAGACCACTTTTATAACATTATACGATAACATTGAAAGCCTCAATGTCTTGACATAGCCCTAAATGCTCCCATGCCCGCGCGTTTTGTGATGGGTGCAATTCGGAATGTGTCATATGGCAGCAAAATATTGATAATGCTGCACAATAGGCATGCACCGTCTTGTTTTTTGTCTCTCCATACCCGGCACATATACCATAATACAGGGTGACACAAAAAAAACGGTCATCACCAAATTTCGAATACCTAACTTCGGAAGTTTTATTCAGATCATCACCAAACTTCGGCCAATTAAGGTCACACCTATGTAGCATACATCCACCAAGTTTCAATTCTTCACTACGATTACTTTTAGTACAGTGTGTGTTTTACTGACGCTCCACAATGTGCTCCATCCAGGTGAGCGCCACGGCGTTGCAGGGCGTAGGCACACTTGCATCCGGCGGGCAAAGTTGTCGATAACCCGATGGCTGTGCACTTTACAGAGTGCAATGGCCTCTGGAGACAGTGCTCAGGGGGTGTGCTACCCCTGAAACGTTATTCTTATCGGGTTATCGACAACTTTGCCCGCCGGATGCAGGTGTGCCTACGCCCTGCAGCGCCGGGGCGCTCACCTGGAGCACATTGTGGAGCGTCCGTAAAACACACACTGTACTAAAAGTATTCGTAATGAAGACTTGAAACTTGGTGGATGTCTGCTACATAGGTGTGACCTAAAGTGGCCGAAGTTTGGTGATGATCTGAATAAAACTTCCGAAGTTATTCGAATTTTGGTGATGACCGTTTTTTTTGTGTCACCCTGTACTACTAAAATCACTTTAACCACCCTTCCTCACGAACAGCAGTAACAGTTCAATAAGTAAGCAGGCTCAGGATAAGAAAACACTACATTTTACACAACCACTTCAAGCACGCGGCTTTAAGCCTTACGCTGGTGGTGGTAGGTCGAAAAATATTGTTTTGATTATTGTTATTAATAAATTGTTTTCTAAACACCAATCGACCTATTGGGTTCACAGAAAATGACGCGGGCGCAATTAGGAGACCGGGCGCAGATTGGACACTCTCCCCTAACAGCAAACTATTTTAAATAGATTAACAGCAGACTGAGTCAGTTTTTGTTTAGCGTGGAGTGTTCTCCCCTTTAACTTAACCCTCGCCGGCACAGGGGGGGTTGATGCAACCCCCCCTAAGGTTTTTCGCTAATAACTCGTGTAAAAAGCGGCCGATTGCGACGAAACTTTCAGTACCCTCGCATTGATCAATTTTACTCCTACCCTGAAAATTTCATGACCCTGACCCAAATGACCTTTGACCTGTGACCTCTTTTCCGAGACCATGTTTGGCCGGATTCGCGATTCGGCGTACGTCGGCTCGCATTAGCCGCGCGTTTGCAAGCTTTTCGTGGTTTCAAACGTTCAAACATGTGATTTGATGTTGCTCCCATACATAAGGGTGGGTGTCAAGGTCACCTGAAGGTCAGGTCAGGTCATTGACCTTTGGTGACCTCGGGTGACCTCGGTTCACTTTTTCGAGTTTTACATGTTTCTAGGCTAGTTTTTGGAGCTGAATTCGAATTTAGCAACCATTTGAACATTTACGAAGTAGTTTTGGTGCCTCCGTAACATGTTACGAAGCTGTCAGAGACGGTTGACACGTATAACGAATACCCGTCACAACCCCTACCGGTTGACCTGACCTGACCTGACCCGACCTGGTCTAAATGCTTGAAGACATCATCTCTGATCAAAACTAATACGATATTCGTGATCAGCACCCCAGAAAACCGCATAACAGCCACACTTTACGACTTTCTAACAGGTCCCGATTTTCCCGGTTTTCGGGTCATTGACCTGACCTGGAAGTTCACCCGATGACCTAGGACCTTAAAATTGGGTATCATCGGCTTCGTCTCGTGACGGGCAACACGCTCGTTTTTTCCGCGAAGCTCTAGCTCGATCAGGGGCCAAACGCGAGGGGGGGTCGTACCAACCCCCCCCCCCTTGTGCCGTCGAAGGACGCAAAATGGCCTGTGCCGGCGAGGGTTAATATGTACCTATTTTAGCAATTTGGCACATACCTAAGTCGCTGTGAGGCTTAGTTTTGTCATTTTCATCTTATTCACCATGAGCCTAAGGAAGCGATTATAATCGTCTGTGTCGATTATCACTCAATACTTTTCACTTACCCATAGGTATAAGTCATTGCTGCAGGGTAGCAGCACAAAACATTGCTATATGGCATGTGGTATGCATAATTGCATCACGCACATAGCGTAAATATAGTGTTGTACTTGACCGTGGCGGTGATTGACCTTTCTATCCGTTTCTCCCTGACCGCAGGCATCGAAACCCTGCCACACGTTTTACCTATGGCTTCTCATTCGGAGGTCATCAGGGGCAGTGCTCACTTTATCAGTGTGGTATTTGTAGTTGCATGGAACCATAGGTCAAGAAATTGTTAATCATAGAAAATCGCTGTGGACATGTATATTTTTTCTTCGTTTATCGCTCTAGACACTAAATAGGTCCGATTGTGTCGTGACCCCCGGAGTGTTGTCCTTGTTGGCCTGTGCCGGTCCTCAAAACTGGACCCGAGCCGCTGTCGCCACCGTCAGACTCCCAGTCGTTAGAGCCCGACAGCAGACGGGCGTCTAACAGACGGAGCTCGGAATTCGGACCGCGACGCGACGTCCCCGACAGCCAATAAATTGATTAGTCAGTGTGACGTGACCAGTCTCAGAGTGACATATTCACGTCAGGCCTGTCCATTGAACCGTCTCGGCCTGTCCGCGACACGTCAGACTGGCTGGGACGTGGCCGTGTGCGAGGGACGCTATGGTGGTTACTCACATGATCTGCGGCACGTCACTGGTTCGGGTCGACTCGAGGGCGAGGAGCGCGAGCAGCGCCACTGGCGCCGGCACCCGCCACATCGTGTCACCAGCAGGTCACCAGCAGGTCACCAGCAGGTCACCGGCAGTCGGACGGGTCACTGGAGCGGCCCGGGTCAGCTGCAGCCGGCTCGGGTCGCCCGCTGATCGGCACGTCACTGAGCCCGCGTCCGTCACTGGCGAAGAGGAGGTGGTCACATGCCCGGGGCGCCGGCTGCGCCGTGTCGGCCGGTCGCGCGCAGCTGTGCCACTGGCCCGCTATTGATCTGATGCCGTGCGCAGCGCGAGGTCGCCAGTGCTCCGACGGGACGGGACGGCAGGACACCGGTGCTGCCGCCTACTGGGAGGTGTAGAAACCACCAGTTGGCTGCTTGGACGTCAGACGGGGCTGAGGCCTTTGAGGTTTGGGAGGAGTTGGGTGTGACACTGACACCTCCTGTCGTTCCAGTACTGAAGAGTTTCGTTTACCGTGGACTTTGCTTCCTTTGTTGTGAGCAGGCAGCAAGCTATTTCTGTCTGACAAGACCATTGCAGATCTATGGGAATGAACCGTGGACTGTGCGTGCCACTGACGCGACGATGCGCTGGCAATGGCAGAAACCGTCCCGGTGGGACGGAAATGTCCCTTTGGGACAGCTCGCCCAATCACTGGACTTGCCCTCACCACCAGCTGCCTGGCGGGGTTGGTCACCAGCCCGGATAAGGTACCTACCTAAAGTGTGGGGAGGGCTGCCGATTGACTGGTCCCGAGAGAAGCCAGGACAGATGTCCGTTTGATAAAAAGGAACCCTAAAAAAGGACGTCACAGGACTTTTTTGACGTCCAAAAAAGGACGTCAAAAAACACGTTCCTATTGAATGAAATAATTACCCAAACCCTCTCCATAGCCCGAAAGATTCCGATCGGCTGGTAGCCGTTTATGAAATAATTAATAGGTATCGCTTTATCCGTTCAAAACAAAGAAACTACGCATGCGAAAAGTTCCCATTGTGAAGACTCAGAGTCACTATTCAGTGTCATTTATTGCCGCTTCTGGCCAGCTCTATCTTTTCCACCCAGATCAATGAACATTGCTCTGACCTTCTAAATGTATTTGACTCATGAATAAAAATTATGCGCATAAATTGAAAAGCGTAATTCAAGGAAGGTAATTAAGTGGTTTCTGTACAAGTGTACCTATAAGCCTGCCAGGTTTGCGGCTATCAAAGGGCAAAGCTTTCCGATTTAGCACAGTCGTGGAACTGGGGCTTCACCGGGATTAGCAGCATGACGTGTCGTCCCAGGGTGGCGACTATCGATATAGGAGCCAGCAGGTGCGGGCCTCACCCCGGAGACCGGAAGTCCTGACTGGGACCGGGCAGGTCCGGTCGGCGCGCCGGCCTGTTCAGCGGCCGGCCGGCACCATGGGGTGTGAGCTGCTCGATAGCGGGCTGAACTGCCGACAGCGGCGGCGGCGGCGATGGGCCGGCGGCGCGCGGCTGGACCGCTATCGATCCGGGGAGCGCCGCCGCCATCGCCCGGCCCGAACTCACACACTCACACACTGAGTGAGTCGCCGCGCCGTGAGCCGCCCGCCGCTCCGTGAGCCGCGTCAACCCGACACCATGGGTGAGTGGGGAGAGCTGGGGTCGGACCCGTGCGTGATGCCGGGTCACGGTCAGGTCGTGCGGTCGGGCTGTGTGTGTGTGTTAACTTTTAATCAAGTCCGAGCGAGGCTGTGCTATTGTTCCAATTGTTTTGTTTGTGAACGTGATTTGGTTTGTTGATTACTAGTAGCAGCGGCGTATTTAGAAAATCGCGAAGGGGGGGGCCAAGGGTTTGGAGGGCGCCACCTCACCCAAGGAGGGCGCCACCTCACCCAAGGAGGGCGCCATACGGTCGCGAGATAAAAAATCGCTCAGTGGGGGTTGGGGGGTTGGGAGGCGTTTTTTACCATGCCACCAGTTTTTTTTTTGCGTAACCTCGTATAGGTCGTGCTGCATTGATTTTGCATCGTGTGTATTCATTATACTCCAGGTCACAAAAGGTCAAGTGTTCTTGAAATGCTGCGCCGAAGGCGCGCGAAATTTTTGAAAACAACCTTTTCCTCCGCTTTTTAGGCACGCCTTTTATACGATCACTGTTCAAAGCTCCTCTCGCTCTTTTACCAAATTTGAAGGTGTAAAAAATACCTAAGGTTTGGTCGGGCCGCTGCCACACAAACTGTACAGAAAGCTTGGCTCATGGGTGTCGATGTATAAAAGTTTATTGGCGGTGGCATATCTACGCACCAGATCACCGTATCGGATTGATACCGGAGCGCGAGATGCGTAAACATCATCCAAATTACCTCAGACCAGCCTTCATAGCCTTCTCACAGATGCATACAGTGTACCCACATAACCAGTTTCAATCACCGAAACTTCAGATGCCTGCTGTTGCGCCCGAACCTGTTGACAATACTTAATCGTAATCCATATAGATGCCATGATGCACGTAAAGTAGGATCAATCCGTTAAGACCAAAGACGTGTTTTGTGCATCGTAGAGCGTAGATAGTTTTGGTAGGTATAGATACTTCATTCATTGTGCTGAATGCACGTTCATTTGTGGCAGTTTTCACAGGCAAGACATCAACTATGTGCAATAGAACGACTAAGTTGAAAAACATGCCAAAGGAGTAAATAAATGATAGGAGGGCAGCGATCAACGGATGTTGCCAATAGGTAGAAGGGCTGCGATCCACAGGAGGGCACTAATAGGTAGAAGAGCCCCGATCAACATCCCGAGTTTCGACAGTAGGGCACCGATAGGTAGGAAGTTGGCGAGCAGCAGGAGGGCGCCAATGGATAGAAGGGCAGCGATCAACAGGAGGGCACCAATAGGTAGGAGGGCGCCGATCAACAATCAACAGGAGGGCGCCACCAGGTAAGAGGGTGGCGAGGAACAGGAGAGCACCAATAGGAGGGTGGCGATCAACAAGAGGTCGCCAATAGGTGGGAGGGCGGTCATCAACTGGAAGTCGCCAATGAGCGGAAGGGTGACGATTAAAATGGGGGTGGCAATGGTGAGGAGGGCGCCTTTGCTCAAGAGGATGACACGAACAGGAGGGCGTCTGTGCGGAGGGCGCTGGTCAACAGGAAGGTGCCAGTGTATAGGAGGGCGGTGATCAACAGGAGGGTGCCAGTGGTTAGGAGGGCGGCGATCTACACGAGGGCGCCAATAGGAGAAGGGCCCCGATTAACATTCAACAGGAAGGACTAGGGAACCAATAGGTAGGAGGGCGGCACTGAGCAAGAGGGTGCCAAAAGGGAGAAAGGCGACCTTCAAAATTTCACATGAGGGCTCAATAGGTAGGAGAGCGCCAATAATTATGAGGACGCCGATCAGCAGAAGGGCGGCAATGTGTAGCAGGGTGGCGACCTACAGGAGGGCGCCTTCGGGTGAGAGGGCGCTTATTTACAGGACAGCGGCTTACATAGGCGACCACCGTTACGCTTAGAGAGCTACTCAGCCTACAAATGTGGTTGGAGGGCGCCCGAGGGAGCCCTCCAACCGTATTTGGAGGGCGTATTTGGAATGGGCGTCCTCCGAGGGCGCCCTCCATCCGTATTTTCCCTGTAAACACATTCGCGATTGGAGGGCGCCCTCCAGTCGCGATTGTTTTTCGATTCGATTATATCACAATTGCATTTGCGATTGGAGGGCGCCTTCGGCGCCCTCCAATCGCAAAGGGCGCCTTCGGCGCCCAAGGGGGGGGCCATGGCCCAGTGGCCCCCCCCCTGCCTACGCCCCTGACTAGTAGGTATTATGAATACGATCTAGTAGCAAATCATAGCATTCACTGATCGATGTGCTAAACGTGTGCTTAATATTGGAGGCTTCGCCTTGTTACGCTATATTTCTTTGTTTTAGTGTGGCTTGGCTGGTGTTTTCTGATCTCGTTTTTGCGCTGCCGCTGCAGCTGTTGCGTCCCGGTGTACGCTCACCCGTCCCGCATCTCCCGTGTGTAACTGAGCTGGGGGCGTGCGCGAGGCGGTGGGTGTCAGGTTCGGGGCTCCGGTTCGGTCGCGTTCAGTCACCACCGGCGGGCTCCGGTGCCGTCACCGTGCCAGAGTCGTTTCTGGGAGCCGCTGTAAGGCCGCCGTGTGGTCGTGGACAGCATGTCGGGCCTGCCGCCGCTGCCGCCGGCCCCCGGGCGCAGACAGCGACCCAAGCTTCGCTCGTCAGTGACACCGCCGCCCATCTGTCTTTCATGTGACCCGCTGCAATTGGACCTGACCTCGGCTGCGTTCGTCAAATGTGGACCATCAGGTGACCAGGTGAGTTTGCTGCCTCTGTGGGACGTCGGTGTCTCACTCTCCCTTGTCGTGAGGCTTTGTTAGTTCCCTTTGCTTTTCAATAGGTAAGCCATCTGCTTCTCGCAATAAGAACTCGGGGCAGGAGACACTGGGCCGAGACGTTCATTCGCCATCTCAGCCCTCCCCAATCTGGAAGGCAGATACATACCTACCACTTGGCCCACGCTTACATGGTCGCCTCGGGGAAAGGCTATTACTTCTCATGTTGAAGCTGCTCCACTTCTGTTCTGTTAACCATTGCCGGTAACCGTCCAGTTCTTAGAACGGAAATGATAAGAGAAAAAAAGACGGGATAAGCCTGAGGCTTCTAAAGAGCAGTTATCAGACTGTATGATTGTGCTTGAATGAATGACTGGTTATTGTGAATAGGAGCTATCGTGTCATTCTATACCCAGAAGTATGACGTTGATCACTTGGAATGTGCGGCGCTCCTTTTTATCGTTATTTGTACAGCACACGTGCTCTCTCACTTCGTACCTATCTGGGGCGTTTTTATCATCTGTCGAACACTAATAAACAGTGATACTGCATACTGGCGATCAACTGTGACTGACTACACGTATGTCTGCACGTCGGGTGGCTGCCAAATGTGTCTCCAATCTGTGTGCAAACGTGATAGAGCAACGCAGCTTGTGCGCCTCGAGCGTCACTGTTTGCAACATGCAGCAGCTCTTATCACAGTACACGGAGATGCTACTTCTCAGTCATCGACGGTGGCTGAGAGCAAACAGACGGTAACCTTACTCAGATGCTCTCAGGAATGGTGTAGGCGTAAGGCATAGTCTATACCTAGGGTCTTGGGGCAAATCGATCATCACAGTGGTACACTTTCAACAAAGGCGTTCCTCTACATCTGAACCGATATTCGCTGCTTGAAGCGATCATCTATTTATTCTTGATATTGCTCGGCGTCTGTGCAAGATTGTTTAAGATGCTTTATTTTTCAATGACCTTATTCATCAATCATCGGACTCTATTTCTATTTTTGTTACATAAGACGGGGAGACATTATTGAGCTTGTTTGCGGCATGTTTGCGATGAGCTAACCGCAAGCATACTCGTATGTTTATTTATGATGACATTTATTTGCACGCCATAAACGACCTACGATATGGGCATATGTACATAGTTCACCCGAAATTGACCGAAGTTTACTGTATTTTACATCAGTTTGTTTTTGTTTTGCATTTTATGAACCCTTATTGAGACTCAGCGATGTTTTAACTTTTCTATGTTCGGACTAATGCTTTTCAGCTTCTTTGATGTGGCACTGCGAGCTCAGTCATGATTTATTAGTTCAACATTTGATACGCTCGTTAGCGAAGCTAGACCTTTTTCTGTTAGGTATAGAGGTTTTCTTTTATTCTTCAGACCATAAAGCCAAGTTTAAAGTTATATCAGATATACATTCGTGTCCTTCACTCTTCAGCCCCGCAGTCAGTCTGCTGGTTAATCACTGAGTGATCACCGTCTGTATAGGTGCGTTACCACTCTGTCTCGGCCGGAGGTCAGGCCTTTCAGCAGCGCTGCGCGGTCTAGCATAACGGTCTGCAGCTGTCATCAGTGCGACAGCACGGTCGGCTGTCCGCGTCATCTGCCGCTGGGCTGGGCGCTGCTCTGGCCGTGCCGGTCAGAGACGACAGGTGACGCGGCCAGTGCGCCACAAACGCCGTAACACCAGCCGGCCAGTGCGCCACAACCGCCGTGATACCAGCGGACCAACTGGCTCACTTTCCATCGGGTGTGCGTGAGTGGCGGAGCCGTGCACTGCCGACGCTCCGCTCTGACCTGCGCCGAGCCGCTCTGTGCAGCCTCAGAGGGGCAATGGAGGAGAGAGGCCGGAGAAAGTCCACTCCCAGCTCGCTCTCCGCCGTGCCGCTGCCGGCTCCGGCGCTATCAGAGGAGACATTCAGTCGAGATGGGCCGTCTTGTTGCACGCGCGGTGGCGGAGACGCCTTTCGGACTGAATTAGTGTCAAGAGTTGTCGGTGACACAGTGGCAGGAGTTGTTGGTGACACACACTGACGCTTCCAGTCCGTGTGGGAAGTCTGTCCGGCTGGGAAGCGCCGACGGCCAAAGACGCCGCCTCGGGCGGGCGGGCGGCTAGGGCGTGCGGTACCGCGGAAATGAACGGTTTCCATGGAGCTGTGGTGGCGAGCAGTTTACACGGCTTTTAGATGGATTTGTTATCCACAGTCCCAGTTTGCTCACTGAGAGAATAGCGGAACAATGTGAGACCTGTTGAGTTACCTTGGTCGATGATGTCATTGTTTTGTCCCGGTCAGTGGTGATCGGACGATATATCAGCGGTGTCGGCGGCGGCGGCTGCACGCGGAGCGGCTCGGCTCTCGGCAGCACCCTCCATTAGCAGCCCGTCTCAGGCGCCGACAGCGGCGCGGCCGGCGCTGCTCGCTCCGGTGCTGCCTGCACCCTGCACCTCGCCTGTGTACCCTTCCACTCAGGCATTCAGACGCAGTGACGCCCCGCCGACCCGTGCCCTTATACGGCGAACCTCGGTCTGTCGCCACCGGCCGCTGCTGGGACATCGGCAACAGAGCTGGGTCAGATGTGATAGTCGCTCTCTGCTACTCAAGCGACCTTTCTCTCTACCGTGGTCCGCTCTGTGGCAAGCACTGCCGCTACCCGTACCCACTGCCTGCAGTGCCGAGGTTGACAAGTCTTGTCGTCCACTGGATATGATTCAGTAGCGGCGGAACGCCTTCAATTAAGGGGGAGGGGGCACTGCCGACTTTTGGTCCCATTCTTTCCATGCAACGCCCAGGGCTAATGTTAAAATGGCCAAATCAAGGGGGGGCACGGTGCCCCGGTGACCCCCCCCCCCCGTTCCGCCGCCTATGATACGATCCTCGAATGGGTTATCAGTTTACTCTAAACCATATGGTGACTGCGTCACTCGCGCAACACTGCGTCAGGCTCGCTTTGATTGTAGCTGACGATCAGCATATTCATTTATTAAACAGCGCCCGTATCCGCATTACGCAACCTGTCGGATCCAAATGCAAGTCAGTTTCATATCAGCGCTCGTGTGTGGCTGATTTTTATTTAGATGTTATATAGAGTACAGATTTAAGATGTTATTGGAAACGTCGATATTCATACAGGTTTGGTACTTCTATAGTGCGTTATGTATCCATTCAAACCATGAAGACCCCAAATTATCCCAATGGGCCAGCCAACTCAATTTGTCACCAGACTCTTTGCAAGTTCGTCTTGAAGCCCTGCTGGTTCTAATAAGCGGATGCAGTTACAACTCATAATCGTAATTAATTTTTGAGGCCATAATTGCCCGCGGGCCGTGTCACTGGCTGACGGCTCGGCGGTCGTTTGGCAGTGCGCTGCTGGCGGTTCCGGTCCCGTGTTCTGCTCGGTCCCGGCTGTAGGCCGACCGTCCCCTGCGCGGTCCTCGCTGAGCCCGCCAGCACAAACACATAGCGGCGATACGGAGCGGACCGGCGCGCGCGGCGACCGCCGCAGTCTCCGGTCGTCTCCAGCCGAGTCAGCCAGCAACGCGGGCGGCACACGGGGACACTGCACCCGGCCTCACATGGCGACGGCGCAGGGTTCACAAAGGACTCACGGTGGTCCAACGCAGACGGCGAGAGCTAACGCGTGTACAGTTTGGGCCATGTGTGCAATGTGCACAGAACCTCTGTTTTTAGCTGGCGTTGAGGCGCGCTGGAGCTTCCCTCGACTGTCCGAGCGTCCGGTGCCTTAACTAGACGGTCATTATTGCTAAGGTCTTTCTTAGCTGAGGTTCTTACCATTTTAAGCTGAGTTGACGTAGTTTGGAGGATTGCTGCTTTTCATGCACGACTCATTTGGAAATGACCCGAGTGCCCCTATCGGCAGTGATGCCGTGCCACTCCGAACGTCAAGGCTCGACTTTCTAAATGTATAGTATACGTCGGCTCCAGGCTTCTGCAACAAAGGAATTATGACAATTTGCTTCATATAATCATAGTGTAATAAATAATTAAAATAATAATAAAGAATAATAGGTATAAATAATATAAATATAAATATAAATAATATTATAAATAATAATATAAATAATAATAAATAATAAATAATTACCTACACTGTGATATAATATGACAGGAAACGCGTCAGATTCACTCCAATGCACTGTGAGTTGTCTGTTGTTGCGGAAACACATATTGGGTAAAACTGCTTCTTTAGTCAGCCATTTTAAAATCAAACGGATCCTAAATGCATAGAAGCAAAGTAAATAGGCATCTGATAGGCATCAGTCACGAAAGGCTTTAACTAAATGCACTGTTTCCGCTTTGATATCCATTGATTAAGAAAAAAATGTCTAAGCGAAACATTGGAGCGGAATTACCCGAGTACCTATCTAAGCCTGGTTTATTTTGCAGCGTCCTCACGGCAAATTACAATGCATATGCTATATTCCTTGAACCCTGATTTGCGTATTGATGTGTGTCAAAATCGCCATCTATGCGTCTGCTGTATAATGTATTGCCTCGTAATTCCTTGTCACTCATTGACCCATTCACTTAAAAGTCTGCCGTACGGAGGACTGCCGGCTCCTAGGCCGTGTGGCTCTGATACAGTGGGTCTCCGCCGCTGACGAGACAGGTCACGGAGCGGACCGCCTGTCTCGGGCGTGGGTCGGGGCGTGCTGCTCCCCGGGCCGCGGCGGGCCGCCTGACAGCGTCTGACCGGCCGTATTGGTCGCTCATCGGTCTGTCATCCGGCGCGTGACGGACGACCCGGACCGTGTTTGTGGCACGCGGACGGCATGCGGAAACTCGCCGCGCCCCGCCGGCTCCCCATAGATGCAGGGCAACTCAAACAAACAGCTCCGCCGGAGGGGCGGCTCGGTGGGCGGCAGGGGGCGCCGCCGCCGCCGCCGCCGCCGCCGCCGCCGCCGCCGCCGCCGCCGCCGCCGCCGCCGCCGCCACTGGAGGAGACCGCAGCAGTCAGTACCGTGCCGGTGGGCGGCGGCGGCGGCGGCGGCAGGTAGAAGGCGGGCCCGGGACGGCGGCGGCGCGTGGGGTGACTCCGGTGTTCGATGACGCCAGGTGCGGTGTCCGGTGACGCCCGGTGAAGCTCCACCGGACGTCGGTGACGCACTCCCACCCCGCGCGGACGCAGGGCCGGTGCCGCGGTGCGATTCAATCCCGTCTGTGATCTGGTGCCAATCGGAGTGAGGAGGTAAACCGCCGCGGGTCGGAGAGATCGCGTCTGTGTGAGTCGCTCGACACCTGTGGCTGTGACACCTGGCGTGCGACCACCGGCTGCCGTCGGCGCAGCCCAGTCGCTCGGCCCGCTCGCCGGGTGTGAACGTGTGAAGCGGAGCTGTTCGCTGTGCGGGCGGTGATAACGAGTGTCGGCCGTGCGGTGAGAGTCGCCCGCCCACCGTCCGCCGGGCGCGCCCACTCGCAGGAGCTCCAGCAGTGCTCGGAATGTGCGCGCCGCCTCAGTAATCATACCCGGTCAGTGGTCAGAGAACCCTGAGAGCGGTGGCCGGAGAACCCGGAGGGCGGCTGCCGGAGAACCCTGAGTGTGACAGTCAGAGGATCCGGAGAGAGGCGGCCAGAGAACCCTGAGGGCGGCGGCTGGAGAACCCTGAGAGAGGCGGCCAGAGAACCCTGAGAGAGGCGGCCAGAGAACCCTGAGGGCGGCGGCTGGAGAACCCTGAGAGAGGCGGCCAGAGAACCCTGAGGGCGGCGGCTGGAGAACCCTGAGAGAGGCGGCCAGAGAACCCTGAGGGCGGCGGCTGGAAAACCCTGAGGGCGACTGCCGGAGAACCCTGAGGGCGGTGTTCGGAGAACCCTGAGGGTGGCGGTCGCAGAACCCTGAGAGAAGCAAAAGAGCTCTAAGAGCGCCAGAGAATCCCGAGGGCGCGGAGGCAATGGCGCTCCTGCGACCGAGCGATTTCGAGAGCGACTACATGAAGAGAAAGATTGATGAGGTGTTGGCCAAGGAGGCGCGCGCCAGGAATCGGAAGAGCATCTTCCAGAATGGCATCAAGCAGCGCAGCTACCCTGCCGTGGTTCGGGGGGTGAGTGTCGGCTCGCGCGTGTTCCTCGACCTCGCGTGACCGCCCGCTGTCACGGTTATCTTATCATCGACCTTGTTAAGCAATATTTAATTCTGTGTTGAATGGGCCAGGCCAGCGATATATTCTATCCGGCAGCTCATCGCACTCAAACGGTACAGGAAACTTCCTCTCATGCCGCGCTGGTCATTTAACCTTGTCCTATGTTGCTAGCCACTCCAGGAATAATATGCTTCATTGTAAATGCTGCGGAAATGTTTCGGTATGAAGCACAATTAGTGCGGCAAAATTGATTTTTTGTTCGTTTTTACTTAAAATTTAATTTAATTAAAATTAAATATAATTTTAATGGAAACGTTTTTAATATGATGAACACCGAAACAACGTTGTTATAACCATTTGCTTCATTCGCCCTCCCACACACGTATAGATTGTGGACACTGACGGAAACTCCGATCATTTGACCTTCGCAATGTGAGCTACAATTGAGGTATTTGAGGTAATTGAGGCCGTTGCGAGAACTCCATCGTACCAAGCTACCACCACATCACTGAAATGCTCCTTATCTTCTCTGTCAACACGGTGCAAACTGCGACGTGCGACGTGCTTTTGTGTGCGTTTGTGCGCGTGTTTGTCGAACATTTCAATATCAACATTTAAGGAGACTTAGATATATAAAAGCGTATGTCCGTTTTTATGTGCTTAAGCTGGTGCATTATGCAATGCAATTCATACACATAGTAAATACGTTGTACATACAAATATGAATAGGTAGGGTACATCCTACATAACATCCACGTATACACACATGAGTGATGCTTTGTTGACGCAATTGCGAAAAGTGTCAATTAACATGACATTGACATTACATTGTATGTAGTTCACCAGTGCGAGCTGCGGTCTACTCTCGCACCCGAGGAAGTACGAGGAGGCTTACGGGCCAAGAAGTAACAGACGGGCTATGCTATAGGGCTGAGGAAGCTGACTGAATGCGTTCGGGCTTGTAGACTGTGTTGTGGCTGACAGGCCGTGTTTAGGCTGAGGAGGCAGAAGGATTGTGTTCAGCTGACGTACAGTCCACAGCAGAAGTAATGTGTGGTTTCAGTCATGGGTATGTTCTGCTTCTGAAGCTTAGGAACGATTAGCCAGACTACAATGAAACTTTGAATGTAGCTTATATGTATCGTCACCCTTGCAGCTGCAACTTTAGCTATTGGCATCTTCTTTTCGATCACTCCGCATTAAACAATCGCCAGTCAAAGCCAACCGTTGAGATTGGTAAAACCCTACATTACTTTAGCGGTGGGCTGTACTTCTTTGAGGCTGAGGCTATAGGCCGAATCGCCGTGATAAGACTGATGGACTGGGTTTACGGCTGAGGAGAATGACGAACCAATAGGCCGTGTTGAGGCTGGGGCTATAAGCTGACTCGTGGTGTTTACTGCACGCAGGACGAGAAGGAGTACATCGGGTTCGCCACGCTGCCGGAGCAGGTGCACAGAAAGTCGGTGAAGCGAGGCTTCGACTTCACACTGATGGTGGTCGGCGAGACGGGCCTGGGCAAGTCGACCCTCATCAACAGTCTGTTCCTGACGGACCTCTACAAGGACCGGCAGCCCACCGATCCGACAGGTAAGCACGGAACATCAGCTGATCCGACAGGTAGGCACGGGCCTCTACCGAAACCGACCAACCTCCACCGAGTTCGACAGTAGGCTGGGAGCATCAAGCGACCCAACCGGTATGTTCGGACCTCTGCGATGACCGACAGACCTCTACCTGTCTGATAACCAGACTCAGACGGACGAGTGGTCTCTCTCTCTCTCCCTCTCTCTCTCTCTCTCTCTCTCTCTCTCTCTCTCTCTCTCTCTCTCCCTCTCTCTCTCTCTCTCTCTCTCTCTTTCTCTTTCTCTTTCTCTTTCTCTTTCTCTTTCTCTTTCTCTTTATATATAGTTACCGATTAACGTCTATGATTGAAGCCCAAGGTGTGCTTTAAGTGAATAAGTTGGGCAGTCGTCGACTCTATCCTGGGTAGCCGTCATGGGAACATCGAATGGCTGCATTGCAATGATGCACTTTACGTTCTTGGAAATGACGTGCACATTGCACACGTCGCAGAAAACTGATCACTGAGACGCATTTTCCTGACCGAGTTGACTGGCAGTGATGCAAGGTCTTGCGTCAGCTCCTGACGAGGCCTCTCTACAAAAGGATGTGATTTTTATTAATGATCGCTCTCGTATGGGGCCCGGCGACTGGGGCACATTCCGCGATGAAGCCCCGGCCACGCCCGTTGGTTACTATGCGGTGTGCCGCTGTCGCCCCTGCGCTGCCAGTGGAATCTCACCACTGTGTCATGAGACAGGGAGCGTGCGGTAGGTACACTGTTGTCCGTCGGTCAGCGCGGGGCCCGCCCAGTCGTAACTACCCCAGCAGGCGAGCTCTGTCGCCGCCCCGCCGCCGGGAAAGTGGAGCGCCGGGCCGACCTGCAGACCGCGCCGCTGAGGGGTCGGCCGAGACGGTCGGCCGGGGCCGGGCGCGGGTCACTCCGGCACTGCGTCACGGTGGTGCCGTGACGCCAAACATCAGCCTTCTGATACGGGCACCAGCCGAGTCAGCAGAGCCATCCGATCCTCGATATTTCAGGAATGCGCTCACGCTTCAGAGCTCTCCGGTGTATAAACACGTGCACCGGCAGCTGAGGCGCACCTCAGCTGGGTCGCCTGCTGCTCCCTTGAGCCACAGCGCACCCGGCCGACAGGGCACGGGACCCGAGTCCGACAGATCTGTAATGCGTGCGTCCCCCCGCGGGGCGCCCACCCAGATTCGACAGTTCGGCCGATAACTCCGGTGGCGGATCCAGGGGGGGGGGGGCTGCGGGGACTGGCAGCCCCCACCCAAGGAAAACTGGCGCCACTGCGCCGAAGGCGCAGTGGCGCCAATTTTCAATTCGCAACTCATCGGAGTGCCGCATACTAGGACTAGGATGCAAAAATCAGTCGAATAACGTCGTTTCAGTACGCTCCGCACCGATATTTCCAATCGTGTGGTGTCACTGTATGTACATACTGATCCTGGGCGCCTCTTGTCAGGGCCACTGGGCGCCAATATTTCAGCGCCAATACGATGCGACTATGGCGCCCATCCGGGGCGTGGCGCCCAATTATGACCTGCAGCCCCTCCCCAGTGAAAATCCTGGATCCGCCACTGGTCATAACTCCGAGTTATGCCGGGATACTCAGTCGGTTTATCGTCGCCGGAACGGTAACTCACCCTCCATCCTGCAGTGCCAGCCTTGTATCACCCTCCGCGCTACACCCTCAGAGCGCGGCGGGGCCTCACCGGCTGCCACTGAGTCCGGCGGCAGTCCCCGGTGACCCGGCCCCGCCCCTGGCCTCGGTGAGTGTAGCAGCGACGGGTCACTGGCTCAGGGCCGTGTCTTTGCGCCACATCGAGCCACCACCAGCTACCTCGCACTGCGTGCACAGGTCATATTCTCTGCACTGGTGAACAGTGCGTAATGAGCTGACAATCACGAATAGCCGACGGTCAAGGATACTTTACATGATAAATGATCGTTTGTCTGCCAACATTGTTCGCGAGGGATATAAGTCATGCAGATGCATGTTTCCGCTTCGCTCTAGCTGCGCCGCGCCTTAGATTTACGACTATCGCTCTAACACACGAGCTCTGACGAGAGTGTCAGCATTTTATTCCATTGTCCGAAATCTAATCGCCTATTCTCCACTGGTCGGCGGTCGCCTAATGGTGAATGTCGATCACCGGTTAGACAGTGATGTGATCGCCAATCGCCGATCGTTGTCCGTTATCAATGACGACTTATATAGCGGTAACAGTCGATCAGTGGTTGCCAGAGTGGTCTCAGAGCACCGATCATCGGTCCGCTAAATAGGTTCCCTCTGCTCCGCTCTCTCCGACCTGACGTGCTGTCAGTTCAGCTGCTGAATGGGTCTCGGCCTTCAGTGAATATCGGTGCAGGCCGATCAGTATCGATGGATACCGGTGCAGTAGATATCTCTGCAGGCCGACTGCCGATCGCCAGGCGCCGGTTTCTGGGGACGCCACTGTGTCATCACTCCTGTCTCCCTCGACATGCCGCCCACGTGCTGCGGTCGGACAGGGGGAGGGGTGATCAGTGGTCACTCCGAGAGACGGGACGGCGGCCTCTCTCCTCTCCGACAAGGCCGCCGCGGCACCGTGCCACCTGAGCCCGGCGATACTGCTGCACGGGCGGGGCGGGGCGGGGCGGCGTGCAGGGTGGGGGCGGACGGAGCAGCACGGAGTGCCCGCCCCGCAGTTTCACCGTCGGTCACACGCGTCGTTCGGCGCTCCGTGCCATCGTTCTCAGCCAGTTTACGAGCTGGGCTGGTCACGTCTGTCGCCGGAGTCGGTCGGTCCGTCCGTCTCGGGGAGGATCTGTCCGCCCCGGCGCTGCGTCAGACTGACAGGCAGTCGCGACTCGCGGCCGGCCAGCGCCACTCCGCGGCCCAGCCCCGACCTTGGCTGGAATGGGCCGGCTGCCGTGTTTTAATATCGCCAACAGCCGGCGGCGGCTGATACTGCTGTCACGGCCCGGGTGGCTGGTCGGGGCTCGGCTGACTGACAAGGCGCTCCGAGTGACCGCTGCGTGCCGACCGTGTCGGTCTGCACGCCGTGTCCTCTCCCACGGCGGCGGCGGGCTGCACCGTGGACACGCACCATATACGGAGTCGGTCACCGCACACGGCGGCCGTATGTGTGTAAAATCGGCGGCCGGCTGCGGTCGCCGATTGTCCGCAGAGACGGGGGTGTGTCGTGCAGAGAAGAGCTCTGCCACGGCTACTGCAGGTGGAGTGGGGTTCGCTGCCGACCGGTTGACGCTCCTGCAACTTTATTTCACCTTATTAGTGGGAAAGTGATTTCAATTTCGATGGGAAGTAACGATTATTCTAACATGACTCGCAAGTAAGCATTTGCGGGTATAGGAACGTTTTACGTATTCGCTGATCCGATTCTATCTCGAGAAAACCAGTGAATATTGTGGCTACTGAAAGCGCCTGCAGTGAAACGATGGCTGATCCGTAAACTGTGTGGTTTCAAGCTGCCTGTGATGCAGTGTTTTGAAAGTTAATTGGGATGTGGTTGACCATCAATGGAAGGTTTCTATGCATTCACCACTCTCGCTAGTAACAGTTTGGCCATGGAGACCTCGACCTTTAGTGGGAGACAAGCGAGCTTTAGAATGTGCTGCCTTTAGCACGCTGTGTTTGCTTTGTTATTTACTTTCGCAGCGTCTGGAAATGGCTCGTAGCATTTGGTTTAGGACCGGTGCTAAATATTTGGCTCGTCAGCTCCGGATGTGGCGCTGGCCGCACTGACCTGGGTTGAGCCGGTCGCGGACGGGTGGCTCGACACGGCTGGGTCGGCAGGGTCGGGTCACGGCGCTGGGGCTGACGGCGCGGTGGGGTGCAGTCGGAGCTGGGGCGGACGGCCGGGGTGTGGTCGGGGCTCTGCAGGACATGGACAGGTGCACTGCGCTAAGGTCCGGCCCACGAGGAAGCCGTTTCGCCGCATTCCTCGGCACCGGAGCGGTGCTGCAGGCAGCGGGCTGCTGTAACAGGCGTACCGGGCGCCGGGCGGACGGGCGGCTCCCGCGCAGCGCTCCCCTCCCCGGTACACGAGGCTCAGCGGACGGAAATAGGCGGCAGAGACTCGAGACGCAAGACGTACGAGACGCGACGGGATGACAGCTGCGCTTGGACCTCTGAGGGGCTGCCCGCCGGCAGGACAGCCCGACACGCCGCCGGGATGACAGGCGGTCCGCGGGGGTGTTTGCGCTGCTAATGGGATGAGAAGTGGGCTAGTTTGTCACTGCGGCGGCCCGTCGAGATGCCGTGCATGAAGTGGCCGGTAACGAATGTAGATCATGATTAGCTCACATCGTTCAACCAAAAATAACCCGCTAAAACTGCGGTCTTATGTCACCACTTCTTACTTCAAAGCTCTGTCTCGAAGTTGAGCTCTGGTGACAGGTGTGCTGTCGGGCAGACTCGCTGGCCGTTCCTCACCGGGATCTGCCCCGGTGACCGATGGCCGTGTTGTGCCGTGTGCTCCAGTAGCCCGCTGTCGTTAATTCATCTCGCAGACAGCGATCGGCCCCTCGCCGATCCATCACGGACCCGTCTCAGCCGCCGTATCGGGTAATTACTTTAGCGTATCGGCGCCGCGCGCCGGCCTGTGGGCTGTCGGTCGCTCGTCAGTCGATCGCCGCTGTGTTTATGTTGAGGCTTGTTATGGCTGAATCAGTGATGTGCATCGGGGCAGGGCGCAGGTGATGTCAAAGACGGATAGCACGGCGCCGATCCAATAAATAAACACGGCGAACGCTGTATAAGGCACGCATAGTCCGTCACGGTCCATTAGTGGCGGCTCATCACAGACGCTATCACGACCGATTGCCGTCTCGTCATCGTGCTTATTGCCCGTCGGTATTGTAATGTCGGCCTTCAGAATTCGGACTTCGGAGGCTACTCGTTGTCCTCCCTTCTTTCTTCGAAAGAGAACGGGTTTGACGCAAAATAGCTCGTTGATAAGTTTTGTGTGTTTTATCCATATTTTCTGCTGGCAATGGGCCGCGCTGTGCCTCATTTTCATAACATTTGGCTTATTGTCCTTTTCAGAGAAGATTAACAAAACGACGAAGATCGAGAAGCGGACGATGGAGATCGAGGAGAAGGGCGTCCGACTGCGCCTCACGGTGGTGGACACGCCAGGTGAGCTTTGAGCGCTGAGCGGTGATCAGGGAAACCGTCAGTACCGGCGGCCCAGTTCGACACAAGGAAAGGAAAACAACGCCGCAGCGGTACGACAGTGAATGGGACTGGTGGTGCTGGGTAACATAGAAATACGACACTCATTGATGACCTGCCAAGGCAGAAGACAGCAGAACGCTTTACTCACATATTGAGTTTCGTCCTTTTACCTTAACACGAGTATTGCTTGTGCTGCCAGAAGCTCGAACATTGTCCAGACTGAGGGTCACACGTGTGAAGGCTTATCGTGCTAAGGATCTAAATTGACCGCCGGCTTCAATGTCGCAGGTTTCGGAGATGCGCTCAATTGCGAGGAGAGCTACCGAGTCTGTGAAAAGTACATCGACGATCAGTTCAACAAGTACTTCCAGGACGAGAGTGGTCTGAACCGGCGCAATATCCAGGACAACCGGGTGCACTGCTGCCTCTACTTCATCCCTCCGTACGGCCACGGGTGAGTGCCGATCGCCGATGGCACTGTCACCCTCCGTCCTGTAGCCCCGACGAGACATTCAAACCACCTCCCATCGCATGCGGCTGAATTGGTAACGGTTTGTTTGTTTATTTGTTTGTTTGTTTTGTTGGGTTAGGCCCTTTCGGTCCAATGAGACCATTTCAGAGCCGGGAGGATGATAGGATGTAGGGGGAGACATTGGTCTGGGCAGGCACCCTAGTGAGTCGCCGGGGCTGAGCCCGTCCAGAGGACAGGCCACCCAGCCCCAAGGCACTCACTGCACCCGGCTACGGGTGCGCTCCCTCGGGAGCAGCGGTGCCGCTCCAAGGGAGCAGCCCGCATGAGATAAAGTTGCCTGTCCAGCCCGGAGGGGGGTTGCGGCGTGGAGGAGAAGGATTTCCGTATCTTGAGGATAGAAGCATGGAACGGTCGTAACGGTTTGGGATGGGTCAAATTTGCGTTTATGTTCGTTAAGAGTTCATAGCACGTTTCGTTCACTGGAGTCAATTGAACTCCGGGTGCTGTGGGCGGGACGTGAGTCATTGGTTGTAGATCTCCAGTCTTTAATTAATGAGTTCTAGTTGGTTTTCTAAAGACTATACTGAACTGAGCAAATATGTCGTTCTAAACCCTGAGGTGTTAAATAGTTGAAGTAGCCACGCTGATATATCCGGCTGTTTGGGCTGTAATTGCCGATTGTTCTTACTTATTTCCTGCAGTATGAGGAAACTGGCTTCACGTGTTTGTTTCAGCCTGCGCCAACTGGACATAGAGTTCATGAGGCGACTTCATAAAAAGGTGAACCTTGTTCCCGTGATAGCTAAAGCCGACGTATTAACACAAAAAGAGAAGAAACGATTGAAGGAAAATATGATGAAAGACATCGCAGCTAACCAGATTGAAGTAAGTGATCATCTTTCTTTGATGTTTTTAAAGAACCGCTTAGTCCGTTAGAAAGTTGGGACGAATAATACGAGCTATAGCAGACGCTAGCGACTTTCGGAATGCTGCCCTATTTGTACTTCGAGAAAAACAGTTCCATATTTCTTTTGCCACCCATTCGTGTTCGTGTTCATGAACGTGTGCTGAACAGTGAAGTGAACATGCTCTGAACTGAACCTGTGTAGTGGTACGCACGGAGTGTGTTGGTAACTCACACCCCGGCCGGCCGTCAGATATACGAGTTTCCCGAGTGTGACCCAGAGGAGGACGACGAGTTCAAGCGGCAGGACGCCGAGCTCAAGGCCAGCTTCCCGTTCGCCGTGATCGGCTCCAACACGGTGCTGGAGGTGGCCGGCCGCCGGGTGCGCGGCCGCCAGTACCCCTGGGGCGTGGTCGAGGTCGAAAACCAGCAGCACTGCGACTTCGTCAAACTGCGCACCATGCTCATATCGACACACATGCACGACCTGAAGGTGAGTGCAGCTGCAGAGTCCGTCAGACAGTCACGCAATGTACGACGATTACATGCGTATCCTTATAGATAGATCTGTAGGGATGCTTGCCCGTATGGCTGGTGGCATTGTTTGTAAATCGCTGTATCAAAGCCTAACATGTTTTATTTTGAGGCGAACTTTTCTTTTCAATCAAATTTTACCGGTCCTCGCCCTAGCTCGGCTTAAATGCATATTTTATCTCAAACAACAGAAAGTATATGCAGATGCGTACAATCAAATGTACAATTCAGTCTATGCGTAATGCGGCACAGTCTAAATCCCGGCGCGTGTATTGCGGTGCAGCCTACGTTTCTGCATGACTGCGGAACCGTCTATCTATGTAGAAGCAGCGTTTCCAGACCGTTTAGCTGCCGTCCGTAGATGCTACTGATGTGCGTCTGCCCCTTCCAGGACATGACTCAGGAAGTACAGTACGAGAATTTCCGCACGCAGTGCATATCTCAGATCTCTCAGATGGCGATGAAGTCACGGACGAAGCTGAAGCGGGAGTCGCAGACGTTCGGCGACACGGGACAGGCGGACAAGCTGCTGCAGCAGAAGGACGAGGAGGTGGGTGAGAAAGTGGCGTGCCTTCGCCGTTGGTGCATACAAATTTCGCTTTACGCAAATATGTGTGTGCCTATACGTATATATTAGGTATTCACTTATCGTTGCATAATGCATAATAACTATAAAACGTATCGTTCATTTAATAAAACATGTCAAATGATTTAACATGTTTAACTTAAATCTGTGCAAAACCGTTTCCCGAGGCGTTTACTCCCAAACGGTTGTAGACAAGCGGTTTGCTCAACTATTTCGATGTAAAATATTTCATGCATGCATACTTTTGCTGTGCGTTTGTAATTAACCTAAAGTAACTGGGAGCCAATAGTAGGGCCTTCAGATCACCTTTTCACTTTAACTGTCACTTAAATGCACTTATCATGTGACATCGTATGCCTGTTCTCGCCTGAACATAATGTATCGGATTCAGGGGAATAAATTATCGAAGTCATATGTGGCACCAGCCTTTTGCATTTCTGCCTTCGATTCCTTGCCCAATACAACTTGCAAATTACGAGCGAGTTACGAAAGCGGAGTGGTTTCTGAAGTGAGCTGCGTCTGATATCTTGTTGTTCTGAGAAACCGACATTATAGTTTAGCTGGTTGCACAATCAGGCATTGTGTGCTGCCTTTGTCACTTCCAATGCATGCTTTGAGTCGTTATCGGCGCTAGTTCTCATTGTCCATGCCGGTGCTGCCGACAGATCCGCCGAATGCAGGACATGCTGCACCAGATGGAGGAGAAGCTTCGAACACAGCAGTCCATCGACCAGGGACACGACAGCGTCATCAACGTCTGAGTCAGTTCCATCGGCCTGTCTCGGACCATGACTATGACGTCTGCCAGTGGCATTGCAATGCATGAGGTCCTGCTGAGAGCTGTATCTTCATACCGACGCCATCGCGCTAAGCGCGTGTCTCAGTGTTGCATTCTCGCAGACCAGACCAAGGCAGTCCAACAGTGGCTCTGTGTCGGAAACTCTGTCGATGGTGCGGTAAGGTCCCAGAGCGTCGCGGGACTCCGAGGAGCGCAGTGCCACTTGGCGAGGATCGGGACCAAAGTCGGCGCTTTGTGACGCTGCTGGCGGCGCTGAACACAGACGCGCGACTGGTATGTGTCGAGCTTCCCCAGTGCGCCGCTATAAACGCCGTGATGAATGTCATGCCCGTCATAGATTGATCCGCTTGCTGAGTCTCGGGGGTCGTGTCGACATTAGTAGTTGATCTGACTGGCTCAGACTGCTACGGTAGTACTATGATAACAAACCAGGCAGCAACATGGACGGCCGAAAGTCATGAGGGTGTGTCATTGTCACGAGAAATCCGAACCTCTCGCTCGCGTGTGACTGGTCACTGACCATGGTAACTCTGTCGATCTACCTACTCTGCCAGCTTGAATGAGGCCGAAGCGGGTCGGCCTTTCCGACGAGTGTGTTATAAACAGCGGCGTCAAGTCATGCCTCATCAACTGTATTGTGTGATCATTTATTTGTTTATGGCTGTACCTACACGGACGAAGTATTTAATTATGTGTCGACGTCGCTGTATGTAGAGTCTCATGAATCACATCGCTAATGCCCTCAGCAAGCAGATAGTCATCCTTTTATTTTATATGCACGGTGCACCTTAGTATGCCCCGGTTTGCTTTTCTTGGCGTAAAACAGTATAAGTTATCGGGATGTTCGATGCGTTTGACATTATGTTGGCATGCATATGTATATGCGCATAAGTGAGCGTAAGATATTTCCTGAGCAGACGCAGACCTAGAAACTTCGTACCGGTTTTACATATGAATATGTGACAAAGTTATATCATTTGCTGCGCTGTACGAATGACTCAACGTCGTGCCGCTTACGGTTTTTGTATGTGTACCACATCGTGGAATGCGAAGCTCTAGCGCACACGCGACTGGTGAGTGACGCCACTGCCGCTGTGGTGACTGGCGCTGCAGCCGGGCTGCCACATTTCGGCACTCCCAGTGGGCTCCCCATAACTGATGGCAGTAGAGACGCCGGGAGCGGCATCCGCCCTCAGTGAAACTCACAGCCAGACTGCGACCCATTATCAACACAGTGGCGTGTTTAGTACAGTGTGCTTCGTGGCTTCTTATATCAGTACAAAATAATAAAACGAATACTGCTTATTGCTTATCAAACTTCTTAGTTCTTCCCCACACCGAGTAAGTAAACGAGCAATCCACTGCGATGGCTGATAACCAGAGTAGCACCACTTGAGGAAAAAATAACCATTGGCTGAACAAAACCAAAGAAGAGAGGGAGTATCGTGAGATGGATCATGAAACGCTTCGATGCTAGTGCAGCTTGTTTCCTAAATCAAAATCGTCAAAATACTCTTCTCGGAAGTGACCTCAGTTCGACAACTGCCAGTAGCGGCGGAACACCTTCAATTAAGGTGAGGTGGGCACTGCCGACTTTTGGTCCCATTCTTTCCATGCAACGCGGAACGCCTATGTTAAAATGCCAAAATCAAACATTCAAACATTCGAGCTAAATTTATAAAAAAAAAACTTCACAATGACTGCATAACAGTGTTCATAAGCCGGCTATATCCAAGGCTGTATCCACATAACACTGAAGGTATGATGGGAATCACGGATTGAAAATGCATGGTTCCACACTCCCCTCCCAAACCTTACGGGACAGGAGAGTTTTATAGCCTTGGGGACAGGATCATGGATGAAAGAACCTTCATCCATGACAGGATGATCTTGCGGATTCTGCTGGGAGATGGTATGCGCTTTTATTACAGATGGGTGGTACGTTGACAGGCTCAAAGACTACGGTGTACGGTGTATTTACTATTTAGGGCCATGCACGGTGCTTTGATATTCTTTGGTGTATGAAGATACACGATATGTATGTACACTCTCAGCCGAGTCGACCGACCAGACGGCAGCGGCTACGGCGGGGTCGCCGTACTGTCAAAAACGGATATGAAAACTGTGACCATCAAACCGAGCACATCCCCGCACCCCGGCAGTCTCCTGGAAACTCGGTAGATGTTGTTCAAGCTCGAACGAAATCGCCAGTTAATTGTTTGCTCTGTGTACCGGCCGCCCCGACAGACCGATGCCGCTCTGCGAGCTGACTTTTCGGACCTCGAGACGCAGTTACAGCGTGTATTAATTGATTTTCCCAAGATTCCATTTATGATCTGTGGTGATTTAAACTGTGATATGTTGAAGGAGGAGAGTTTTCGTGCGCGTGTACACCTCAGTGACTTTTTATCGAATTATTCTCTCGAGCAGCTTGTAACCGTTCCAACGTACACTTCCGGCTCGTTGCTAGACGTCTGTATGGTTAAAAATAGAGAGCTTGTGCGTGATTGCTCTGCATCCTTTTGCCACTTCAGCCCACACAAACTCCTTCGTGTGTCTATTAACGTCCCGAAACAACGCAAAAATCCTACAGTTGTTCAATCCCGCTCGATCAACCGTATAGATGTCGATGCCCTGAACTCTGACCTGATGTTTGCCGATTGGGAGGGCGTGTTTAGTGCCACGAACGTATGTGACCAGTGGGATGCTTTCCTGACCGAATTTCTGCCGATTTTTGACGATCACGCACGGCGCACCTATAAAGAATATTACCATCCGTAATCCTACAGCACCACCAGTTACCCCCGCCACACTTAAAATCATGGATCAACGTCGTACCGCGCTACAGCAGTTCGGTAGAAAGTCGGAGGTTTACAAAGACTTGAACCGAACTGTCCGGGCCGCAGTGCGACGAGACCGACGCGGCGAACTTCACAGAGAGATTAGTGGGCGGGGTCCCAACAAGGTGTGGAAAAGTATTAGGTCGGTTGTGGCTGGAAAGAAAGACGGACCTAGTGTTCAACCTGATGTATCGGCTGACGTTTTAAATTCTTTTTTCGTTTCTGTGGGTCCCCGCGTCGCTACAGAGATCCGTGACCAAAATCCAGTTGTTGAGCAAATTGGCCGTTTGCCGCGTGTCGTAACCGGTAGATTTAAGCCCAGACCTATCTCTCTCGGTGAACTCGGTCACACCGTTTTCAATATGCGCAATTCTGCCGCCTGTGCGTCTGATGGCGTCTGCATTCGCATGCTGAAAACCGCTTTCCCATCTATCGGTGACGGTGTAGCAACGTACCTATCTCCAAGATTACTTTACTACTCAGGTTGGTTCACTAGGGAAATAAAGGCGCCGTGGTGACGTCACGGATTTGGTAGCAATCTGGTAGCAATTTTTGCAGACATCAATGGCGCACGTGTTGTTTGATCGTCGCCAATACTATTTTACTGCACTATTTTGTTATTTCACTGCAATGTATTGTACATTACATTTGAAAATTAAAATAAAGAAATATTCGTAACCCAGCAAGTCAGTTATTCTTTGAGGCAGCACTCTGTCAGCATTGAGCCTTCTGAATGTGTTATTTGATAGACTTTCCCACATTTTCTACTCTTGTGGAAAACTTTCTTAGTCATCAAAAATGTATGCACATATGAATAATTAGAACTTCATTTTCAAAGTTTTATAGAAATAAGATTTCACATTACATTATCATAAGGCTACCTGTCCATTTCGTCCAACCAATTAAATATTCATCCAGCAGAAGGCAGGTACCTCTGAGAAGGTACTACTGTACACCAATATTTCAGGAAAATGACAGAGACTGAGAAGCTATTAAAACTTCAGCGTATGAAAGGGATGTATGGCTTATGCACATTGAAAAACATCAGATAATGCTTTTGAACCATCTCATTAACCAGCACACATCAATCCGGCTCCTGGCTTCTGTCAAGGAAACATTCCAAAATAATGCATTATTTTATTTCATTGACCACCTTGCAAAAGACAAACAGCAAACACATCACCACCAAAAACAAAAATAGTCAACAGGTAGGTACCAGCTGATCTAGCCGTGCTGTGTCATGTGCCTTTGAAAAACTTGAGCAGTCAGGGTTGAATAAACACCCCGAACTTAGCCATTCATGCATGAACAAGTGCAAATTCTGGTCGAGCATTTAAATAAAAATGAAACTAACAGCATTGTAGGTTACAATTATAAAAAAAGACAATTACAAAAAAAACAGCAGAGCTTACTCTACAAGGCATAACCATTAATTTTATAACTGACATCCAAATTCGCATCTCCGAAGTTAACCCACCTACCAGCCACCTGCACATTTCTGCGCACATGTGCTGCGCAGTGTGCACAGTCACTACACATTACACAATTATGAGAATTAAAATAGTTTTAAACAATCAAGCAAGTCAGGACTGGTATGCAGATTCACAAGTTCTCTCAACATCTTCAATTACCAACAATAAAGAGCACCTTGTGATCTCAGTAACTCCACAGATCCATCTTCTGTTTTCCATTTTCAGTTTTTAATTGAAATATAAGTTCCATCTGGGAGACACATGTTGCATCATTATGTTTAAACAATTATTATGCTTGAACTTTTGATTTTTCATGTGAACTTCACTTCAAGTTGATTCAATTTTTAAAGTTGATATAGGTAATTTGTATAATGCTACGATCACGGCGCACCAAATCACAGATAACTTGAAAATAACCAAGCAAAAGGGACACGCCTAAGAGCTGGACTTTTTGATGACGTCTTCGGGTGACGTCATGTCGTGTGTGACGTTTCGTGAGCAGGTAGGGAAAAGTCACCACCGCTGGCGAACATTGGTGCGGTAAATGGCAAACACAAATGCTGCGCAGAAAAGACAAATGTGTAACTTCAGACACGTCTGTCAAACTAGCAGCGAGCAGCGAGCAGCGAGTCCAGCAGCGAGAAACGGGCCATCCCGATTTAGCTGAAATTTGGCACACAGAGCCTTCTCAGCACGCTGATTCCGAAAATCATGGTCTCTAGGGTGGAAATATTGACCGTTCTCGAGATAGAACCCTCTAAAGTTCTTACCATCCATGGCCGGGCCATCCCGATTTGGCTGAAAATTGGCTCACAGAGCCTTCTCAGCACGCTGATTCCGAAAATCATGGTCTCTAGGGTGGAAATATTGACCGTTCTCGAGATAGAACCCTCTAAAGTTCTTACCATCCATGACCGGGCCATCCCGATTTGGCTGAAAATTGGCTCACAGAGCCTTCTCAGCACGCTGATTCCGAAAATCATGGTCTCTAGGGTGGAAATATTGACCGTTCTCGAGATAGAACCCTCTATAGTTTTTACCATCCATGACCGGGCCATCCCGATTTGGCTGAAAATTGGCTCACAGAGCCTTCTCAGCACGCTGATTCCGAAAATCATGGTCTCTAGGGTGGAAATATTGACCGTTCTCGAGATAGAACCCTCGCAGCGAGTCCAGCAGCGAGAAACGGGCCATCCCGATTTAGCTGAAATTTGGCTCACAGAGCCTTCTCAGCACGCTGATTCCGAAAATCATGGTCTCTAGGGTGGAAATATTGACCGTTCTCGAGATAGAACCCTCTAAAGTTCTTACCACCCATGACCGGGCCATCCCGATTTGGCTGAAAATTGGCTCACAGAGCCTTCTCAGCACGCTGATTCCGAAAAACATGGTCTTTAGGGTGGAAATATTGACCGTTCTCGAGATAGAACCCTCTAAAGTTCTTACCACCCATGACCGGGCCATCCCGATTTGGCTGAAAATTGGCTCACAGAGCCTTCTCAGCACCCTGATTCCGAAAATCATGGTCTCTAGGGTGGAAATATTGACCGTTCTCGAGATAGAACCCTCGCAGCGAGTCCAGCAGCGAGAAACGGGCCATCCCGATTTAGCTGAAATTTGGCTCACAGAGCCTTCTCAGCACGCTGATTCCGAAAATCATGGTCTCTAGGGTGGAAATATTGACCGTTCTCGAGATAGAACCCTCTAAAGTTCTTACCATCCATGACCGGGCCATCCCGATTTGGCTGAAAATTGGCTCACAGAGCCTTCTCAGCACGCTGATTCCGAAAATAATGGTCTCTAGGGCGGAAATATTGACCATTCTCGAGATAGAACCCTCTAAAGTTCTTACCATCCATGACCGGGCCATCCCGATTTGGCTGAAAATTGGCTCACAGAGCCTTCTCAGCACGCTGATTCCGAAAATCATGGTCTCTAGGGTGGAAATATTGACCGTTCTCGAGATAGAACCCTCTAAAGTTCTTACCACCCA